CAAAATTGCCCTCGCTAGAAGCCTGTGTTTCAGACATAAGGAAGTGGATGGCTGAAAACTTTTTACTTTTAAACTCGGACAAAACAGAGATGCTTGTTCTAGGTCCCAAGAAACAAAGAGATCTTCTGTTAAATCTGACAATTCATCTTGATGGTTGTAAAGTCGTCTCAAATAAAACTGTGAAGGACCTCGGCGTTACTCTTGACCCTGATCTCTCTTTTGACGAACATATCAAGACTGTTTCAAGGACAGCTTTTTTCCATCTACGTAACATTGCAAAAATCAGAAATTTTCTGTCCAAAAATGATGCAGAAAAATTAATCCATGCATTTGTTACTTCTAGGTTAGACTACTGCAATGCTCTATTTTCCGGCTACCCGGATAAAGCACTAAATAAACTTCAGTTAGTGCTAAATACGGCTGCTAGAATCCTGACTAGAACCAAGAAATTTGATCATATTACTCCAGTGCTAGCTTCCCTACACTGGCTTCCTGTTAAGGCAAGGGCTGATTTCAAGGTTTTACTGTTAACCTATAAAGCGTTACATGGGCTTGCTCCTACCTATCTTTCCGAGTTGGTCCTGCCGTACATACCAATACGTACGCTACGGTCACAAGACGCAGGCCTCCTAATTGTCCCTAGAATTTCTAAGCAAACAGCGGGAGGCAGGGCTTTCTCCTATAGATCTCCATTTTTATGGAACAGTCTGCCTACCCATGTGAGAGACGCAGACTCGGTCTCAACCTTTAAGTCTTTACTGAAGACTTATCTCTTCAGTAGGTCATATGATTGAGTGTAGTCTGGCCCAGGAGTGTGAAGGTGAACGGAAAGGCTCTGGAGCAACGAACAGCCCTTGCTGTCTCTGCCAGGCCGGTTCCCCTCTCCACTGGGGTTCTCTGCCTCTAACCCTGTTGCAGGGGCTGAGTCACTGGCTTGCTGGTGCTCTTTCATGCCGTCCCTGGGAGGGGTGCGTCACTTGAGTGGGTTGAGTTACTGACGTGATCTTCCTGTCTGGGTTGGCGCCCCCCCCCCTTGGTTTGTGCTGTGGTGGAGACCTCTGTGGGCTATACTCGGCCTTGTCTCAGGATTGTAAGTTGGTGGTTGAGGATATCCCTCTAGTGGTGCGGGGGCTGTGCTTTGGCAGAGTGGGTGGGGTTATATCCTTCCTGTTTGGCCCTGTCCGGGGGTTTCTTCGGATGGGGCCACAGTGTCTCCGGACCGCTCCTGTCTCAGCCTCCAGTATTTATGCTGCAGTAGTTTATGTGTCGGGGGGCTGGGGTTAGTTGGTTATACCTGGAGTACTTCTCCTGTCTTATCCAGTGTCCTGTGTGAATTTAAGTATGCTCTCTCTAATTCTCTCGTTCTCTCTTTCTCTCTGAGAACCTGAGCCCTAGGACCATACGTCAGGACTACCGGGCATGATGACACCTTGCTGTCCCCAGTCCGCCTGGCCTTGCTGCTATTCCAGTTTCAACTGTTCTGCCTGCGGTTACGAAACCCCTACCTGTCCCAGACCTGCTGTTTTCAACTCTTAATGATCGGCTATGAAAAGCCAACTGAGAGACCTGAGCCCTAGGACCATACGTCGGGACTACCGGCCGTGGTGACTCCTTGCTGTCCCCAGTCCGCCTGGCCTTGCTGCTATTCCAGTTTCAACTGTTCTGCCTGCGGTTATGGAACCCCTACCTGTCCCAGACCTGCTGTTTTCAACTCTTAATGATCGGCTATGAAAAGCCAACTGAGATTTATTCCTGATTATTATTTGACCATGCTTGTCACTTATGAACATTTTTGAACATCTTGGCATGGTTCTGTTATAATCTTCACCCGGCACAGCCAGAAGAGGACTGGCCACCCCTCATAGCCTGGTTCCTCTCTAGGTTTCTTCCTAGGTTTTCGCCTTTCTAGGGAGTTTTTCCTAGCCACCGTGCTTCTACACCTGCATTACTAGCTGTTTGGGGTTTTAGGCTGGGTTTCTGTACAGCACTTCGAGATATTAGCTGATGTAAGAAGGGCTATATAAAATAAAATTGATTGAAAATTGATTTAGATGCCTTTTGGCAAACTCCAAGTGGGCTGTCATGTGCCTTTTACTGAGGAGGGGCTTCCGTCTTGGTCACTCTACCATAAAGGCCTGATTGGTGGATTGCTGCAGAGATGGTTGTCCTTCTGGAAAATTCTCCATTCTCCACAGAGGAACTCTGGAGCTCTGTCAGAATGACCATTGGGTTCTTGTTCACCTCCCTGATCACGGCCCTTCTCTCCCGATTGCTCAGTCTGGTCCGGGCGGCCAGCTCAAGAAAGAGTCTTGGTGGTTCCAAACTTCTTCCATTTAAGATGGATGGAGGCCACTGTGTTCTTGTGGACCTTCAATGCTGCAGAAATGTTTTGGTACCCTTTCCCAGATCTGTGCCTCGACACAATCCTGTCTCGGAGCTCTACGGACAATTCCTTCGACCTCATGGCTTGGTTTTTGCTCTACCATGCACTGTCAACTGTGGGACCTTTATATAGACAGGTGTGTGCCTTTCCAAATCATGTCCGATCAATTGAATTTACCACAGGTGGACTCCAATCAAGTTGTACAAACATCTCAAGGATGATCAATGGAACAGAATGCACCTGAGGACAATTTTGAGTCTCAAAGCAAATGATCTGAATAGTTTTGTAAATAAGGTATTTCATTTTTTTATTTTTAATAAATGTGCTAACATTTCTAAGAACCTGTTTTCGCTTTGTCATTATGGGGTATTGTGTACAGTGGCTTGTATTCAACCCCCTTTGCATTTTTCCTATTTTGTTGCCTTGCAACCTGGAATTAAAATAGGTTTTTGGGGGGGTTGTATCATTTGATTTACACAACATGCCTACCACTTTGAAGATGCAAAATAATTGTGTGTGTGAAAAAACTAGATATAAAACAAAATAACTGAACTTGAGCGTGCATAACTATTCCCCCCCCCCCCCCTACTTTGTAGAGCCACCTTCTGCAGGAATTACAGCTGCAAGTCTCTTGGGGTATGTCTCTATAAGCTTGGCACATCTAGCCACTGGGATTTTTGCCCATTCTTCAAGGCAAAACTGCTCCAGCTCCTTCAAGTTGGATGGGTTCCGCTGGTGTACAGCAATCTTTAAGTCATACCACAGATTCTCAATTGGATTGAGGTCTGGGCTTTGACTAGGCCATTCCAACACATTTAAATGTTTCCCCTTAAACCAAGTGTTGCTTTAGCAGTATGCTTAGGGTCATTGTCCTGCTGGAAGGTGAACCTCCGTCCCAGTCTCAAGATTGAAACAGGTTTCCCTCAAGAATTTCCCTGTATTTAGCGCCATCCATCATTCCTTCAATTCTGACTAGTTTCCCAGTCCCTGCCGATGGGAAAAACATCCCCCACAGCATGATGCTGCCACCACCATGCTTCACTGTGGGGATGGTGTTCTCGGGGTGATGAGAGGGTGTTGGGTTTGCGCCAGACATAGCGTTTTCTTGATGACCAAAAAGCTCAATTTTAGTCTCATCTGACCAGAGTACCTTCTTCCATATGATTGGAGAGTCTCCCACATGTCTTTTGGCGAACACCAAACATGTTTGCTTATGTTTTTCTTTAAGCAATGGCTTTTTTCTTCCGTAAAGCCCAGCTCTGTGGAGTGTACGGTTTAAAGTGGTCCTACGGACAGATACTCCAATCTCCACTGTGGAGCTTTTTAGCTCCTTCAGGGTTTTCTTTGGCGTCTTTGTTGCCTCTCTGATTAATGCCCTCCTTGCCAGGTACGTGAGTTTTGGTGGGCGGCCCTGTCTTGGCAGGTTTGTTGTGGTGCCATATTCTTTCCATTTTTTAATAATTGATTTAATGGTGCTCCGTGGATGTTCAAAGTTTCTGATATTTTTTTTATAACCCAACCCTGATCTGTACTTCTCCACAACTTTGTCCCTGACCTGTTTGGAGAGCTCCTTGGTCTTCATGGTGCCGCTTGCTTGGTGGTGCCCCTTGCTTAGTGGTGTTACAGACTCTGGGGCCTTTCAGAACATATGTATATTTACTGAGATCATGTGACAGATCATGTGACACTTAGATTGCACACAGGTGGACTTTATTTAACTTCTGAAGGTAATTGGTTGCACCAGATCTTATTTAGGGGCTTCATAGCAAAGGGGGTGAATACATATGCACGCACCACTTTTCCATTATTTAATTTGTTGAATTCTTTGAAACAAGTTATTTTTTTAATTTCACTTAACCAATTTGGACTATTTTGTGTATGTCCATTACATGAAATCCAAATAAAAATCAATTTAAATTACAGGTTGTAATGCAACAAAATAGGAAAAACACCAATTGGGATGAATACTTTTGCAAGGCACTGTAGATGAATGAGGAAAAAAATGCATTTAATAAATTTTAGAAGAAGGCTGTAAAGTAACAAAGTGGAAAAGGGGAAGGGGTCTGAATACTTTCCGAATACACTATGTCCTCCTACACCATTTAAGTTATGAACGCCAAACTAACGTTGAGATGTTCAAACTGACCCAGCTTAGATTGTTTCTATTCAGAATTTTTGTAACATTTATACTTTTTTAACTATAACCATTTAAATGTTAAAGCTCCATAGGCTTGAATGGGAAGTATTTGGATTCGCTACTACTCTTACACCATTTAAGCAATCAACAACAAACTAACGTTGAGATGTTCAGACTGACCCAACTTATATTGCTTGCATTCAGCTTGTAAATTAAAGATAAGTATTTTTATATTATTGATCGATTGACTAAGACTTTTTAAATCACCCAGCAGTGCTATTTGCAGAGTTAGCTCCAGGTAAATGTTGCAATTTTTCAGCCATTCCTGAACCTGCGTCCAAAAACAAGCTACATATGGACATTACCATAACAAGTGATCTAATGATTCTGTCTCTTCGCAGCAACATCTGATACTTGACGATAATGTATTTTCTCTTTTCCCCACAGGTGATCCAGAAGCTGGTGTTCCCCTTCAGCCGAATGAACTACCTGCCGTCCAACGAGGTCCAGTTCTTCTCCAAGCTGGAGGTGGTGCTGGAGCTCAAGGCCCTGAGCTCCCCGCTGGCCACCGTCAATATCCTTATGTCCCTATTCCAGCTAGGCCACTTTCCCAGCCTGGTGCTGCACAGGGTCTTCTCCACCACCTTTATCAGCAACGTCACCAGTGAGTGGCACGCACGCGCGTATAACAAGCAACATGAAAGAACAGCTGTGTTTCATTTCTTTTGACTTACAGACTTTCAGTAGACACAATGAACCTCAAGCTGACCCCTTATAAACAACTAATAAACACACACATACATGCACTGAAGCGGAATAGTACACTCACATACCCCAACTCAATCCCAGTCAGTTGTATGTGCTTCATTTTCACGTTCTGCCATTTTAGACAGTCCTTATGCTCTGATCGTGCGTCGCTACTTGTCTCTGTTGGACGCAGCGGTTGAGCTGGAGTACCGGGACTACACCGGTCCACGGCTCCAGGACACGCACAAGGTGCTCATGTTTGACCGTGCGCTGACCGCTGACGAGGTCAACCGCAAATACAGGTACGGTGCAGTACTAGAGTGATTGGTTAACCAACTGTTAGTTGGTACATGGTCATCTATTTTCTTTATTGAATTATGTCTGCTTTTTCATTGCAAATTCCAGTGAAGCATGAAAAGTATCTGGTTGACATAAGTGTTTTGTGTGTGTATATGTGTGTTTTTCAGCTACAAGGGTCTTGTTGCTGAAGCCCTCAGACAATTGGTTGGAGAACATGGCTACAAGCAAGATGAAGTCCTAGCCCCTGGGTATTACACAGGTACATTGAACAAACACCAGATTGCATGTTAAACCCAAAGGCCACTGTAAGATAGAGACCTGCACCGGTCAGTTTTTTTAGCCTCCTTTATCAATTCCGAGCCTTTATCAATTCCGAGCACCACCCGATACCAGGACAGATTTTTCTCCGCAACCCAACCCACCCGAATAGATTTGTTCCGAGAGCCGATCCGTGACCCGCCAAATAACACCAATTTATTTAATTGTTTTAGAGTAGGCTAGTAGGCTAATATTCCCCTCCCTGCATGAATTAAGTTGTCTGCATGTATAATCAACATTTGGATAAAAGAAAACCATGCCATGAATTAAGAACAATATATTTTATTTTCACAATGAGATGCGGCACATTGACAACTCGAATCGCTCTGAAAAAAAAGGTGTCCTAATTAGCTTTCTTACCTAATGAAATGCTATAGCCAACAACAAAACAAGACCTTTACATTTAATATTATAATTTAATAATTTAATTGAAACTTAAGTAAATAATTCCCAGAATCGAATATAGGCTGCAAAAGTACATTTATTTTGTAGGCTGTAGCCTTACTCAAACTTTTACGAGCCACACCAGTTTAAACTTATTTTACTCTTATTTTACCAGGTAAGTTGACTGAGAACACATTCTCATTTGCAGCAACGACCTGGGGAATAGTTACAAGGAAGAGGAGGCGGGATGAATGAGCCAATTGGAAGATGGGGATGATTAGGTGGCCATGATGGTATGAGGGCCAGATTGGGAAATTAGCCAAGACACCGGGGTTAACCTCTACTGGATGGGTGTCCCGAAATCGGGACAGTTGTTGCTCAATACGGATAATGTGACTACAATGACTTTGTAAACAAAAGCACATTTTCATGGACATATACATGTCTTATATGGGCAGAAAGCTTAAATTATTGTTAATTTAACTGCAGTGTCCAATTTACAGTAGGTATTACAGCGAAAAAAATACCATGCTATTGTTTGAAGATAGTGCACAACAACAAAACACTTTTATCACGGCAACTGGTTTGATACATTCACCTCTGAAGGTAAATAATGTACTTACATTTAGTAATCGTGCTCTGATCTGTCATCCTGAGGGGTCCAGAGATAAAATGTAGAGTTGTTTTGTTTGTAAAATCCATTTTTATATCCTAACACGATCCATGTTGTATAAAGCGTTTCGCCTGAATTCCAACTCCTTCAACTTGCAACAAAATATTTCAACATAATATAAATGCTACTCCTTGTTTCACTCAGTCAAGTTCGGTTTTTCTGCGATCCTCAGATACTCAAGAAGGCAACCAAACTTGTTTCCGTCATTCTGCATGAGGTATAGGCTACACAAAAGCTATTTGAGCCCAACAAGAACTGACATGATTACGCACCAATGAGGTGGAGGGTGTTCACTTGATTGACTGTATCTTGATCCAATGACCACCTGTCATTTTGAAACATAGCTAGCTAGATAGCCAATGAGCTGGGCTTTACAGGAGTATGAGATGGTCTTTGCCTGTGGGTTCAGCACACGCGCAATACGGTTTAGTGTTCATTGGAAATCTAAACAAGGAAGTGGCGCATCACGTTACGCACAGCTCGATTTAGTATACAAAGTTTTCTGCAAATTTTGAAAGTACAATATGGCTACTAATACTTAAAGCTAAATCAAAGTCCAGGTATACAGATTTGGATGAGATTATAGCAGAAATCGACCGGGAAAGTGTCACAGAAGCAGTAGATGAGGACTTAGTGAATATAGTTTAGACTCAACAGCTGAATATATGTTTTTGGAAGGAGAGGACGCCACTTTAGACTGGTAAGTGAAATACGTTCCTTTCTACTCATGCTAATGCAGTTGTTTGAATCGTTGCATATTATTCATTTGAGAGATTTTTTCTTTGATTGCTATAAATACACTACTGTTCAAAGGTTTGGGGTCACTTAGAAATGTCCTGGTTTTCGAAAGTTTTGTCCATTTTAAAATGACATCAAATCGATCAGAAATACAGTGTAGACATTGTTAATGTTGTAAATGGCTATTGTAGCTGGAAACGGCTGATTTTTAATGGAATATCTACATAGGCGTACAGTCTCATTATCAGCAACCATCAGTCCTGTGTTCCAATGGCACGTTGTTTTTGCTAATCCAAGTTTATCATTTTAAAAGGAAAATGTAATTATGGAAAATGTATGCACTCACTAACTGTAAGTCGCTCTGGATAAGAGCGTCTGCTAAATGACTAAAATGTAAATGTAATTAGCCTATCAGAAGCTTCTTAAGCCATGTCATCATTTTCTAGAATTTTCCAAGCTGTTTAAAGGCACAGTCAACTTAGTGTATGTAAACTTCTGACCCACTGGAATTGTGATACAGTGAATTATAAGTGAAATAATCTGTCTGTAAACAATTGTTGGAAAAATGACTTGTGTCATGCACAAAGTAGATGTCCTAACTGACTGCCAAAAACTATAGTTTGTTAACAAGAAATTTGTGGAGTGGTTGAAAAACCGAACTTGTACATGGACCTCCAACCTAAGGTGTACTGTAAACTTCAGACTTCAACTGGTGTGTGGTGTGTGTGGTGTGGTTGTGTTTATATATATATATATGTGGTTATATATATATAATTATCTTATATATATATATATAATATTATATATTAATATATATATGATACACCACTACACACACAAAGTGGGGAGAACAAGTAGTTGATACCACTGCCGATTTTGCAGGTTTTCCTAGAATTACAAAGCATGTAGAGTATCTGTAATTTTTATCATAGGTACACTTCAACTGTGAGAGACGGAAATCTAACAACAAAAATCCAGAAAATTAAATGTATGATTTTTTTTGTAATTAATTTGCATGTTTATTGCATGGACAAAAGTATTGATACATCAGAAAAGCATGAACTCTTAATATTTGGATACAGAACCCTTTGTTTGCATTACAGAGATCATACGTTTCCTGTAGGTCTTGACCAGGTTTGCACACACTGCAGCAGGGATTTTGGCCCACTCCTCCATACAGACCTTCTCCAGATCCTTCAGGTTTCGGGGCTGTCGCTGGGCAATACGGACTTTCAGCTTCCTCCAAAGGTGTTCTATTGGGTTCAGGTCTGGAGACTGGCTAGGCCACTTCAGGACCTTGAGATGCTACTTACGCAGCCACTCCTTAGTTGCCCTGGCTGTGTGTTTCGGGTCGTTGTCATGCTGGAAGACCCAGCCACAACCCATCTTCAATGCTCTTACTGAGGGAAGGAGGTTGTTGGTCAAGATCTCGCGATACATGGCCCCATCCATCCTCCCCTCAATACAGTGCAGTCGTCCTGTCCCCTTTGCAGAAAAGCATCCCCAAAGAATGATGTTTCCACCTCCATGCTTCATGGTTGGGATGGTGTTCTTGGGGTTGTACTCATCCTTCTTCTTCCTCCAAACACAGCGAGTGGAGTTTAGACCAAAAAGCTCTATTTTTGTCTCATCAGACCACATGACCTTCTCCCATTCCTCCTCTGGATCATCCAGATGGTAATTGGCAAACTTCAGACGGGCCTGGACATGCGCTGGCTTGAGCAGGGGGACCTTGCGTGCGCTGCAGGATTTTAATCCATGACGGCGTAGTGTGTTACTAATGGTTTTCTTTGAGACTGTGGTCCCAGCTCTCTTCAGGTCATTGACCAGGTCCTGCCGTGTAGTTCTGGGCTGATCCCTCACCTTCCTCATGATCATTGATGCCCCACGAGGTGAGATCTTGCATGGAGCCACAGACCGAGGGTTATTGACCGTCATCTTGAACTTCTTCCATTTTCTAATAATTGCGCCAACAGTTGTTGCCTTCTCACCAAGCTGCTTGCCTATTGTCCTGTAGCCCATCCCAGCCTTGTGCAGGTCTACAATTTTATCCCTGATGTCCTTACACAGCTCTCTGGTCTTGGCCATTGTGGAGAGGTTGGAGTCTGTTTGAGTGTGTGGACAGGTGTCTTTTATACAGGTAACGAGTTCAAACAGGTGCAGTTAATACAGGTAATGAGTGGAGAACAGGAGAGCTTCTTAAAGAAAAACTAACAGGTCTGTGACAGCCGGAATTCTTACTGGTTGGTAGGTGATCAAATACTTATGTCATGCAATAAAATGCAAATTAATTACTTAAAGATCATACAATATTATTTTCTGGATTTTTGTTTTAGATTCCGTCTCTCACAGTTGAAGTGTACCTATGATAACAATTAAAGACCTCTACATGCTTTGTTAGTAGGAAAACCTGCAAAATCGGCAGTGTATAAAATACTTGTTCTCCCCACTGTGTATATGTATATATATATATATATATATATATATACAGTGGGGAAAAAAAGTATTTAGTCAGCCACCAATTGTGCAAGTTCTCCCACTTAAAAAGATGAGAGAGGCCTGTAATTTTCATCATAGGTACACGTCAACTATGACAGACAAATTGAGAAATAAAAATCCTGAAAATCACATTGTAGGATTTTTAATGAATTTATTTGCAAATTGTGGTGGAAAATAAGTATTTGGTCACCTACAAACAAGCAAGATTTCTGGCTCTCACAGACCTGTAACTTCTTCTTTAAGAGGCTCCTCTGTCCTCCACTCGTTACCTGTATTAATGGCACCTGTTTGAACTTGTTATCAGTATAAAAGACACCTGTCCACAACCTCAAACAGTCACACTCCAAACTCCACAATGGCAAAGACCAAAGAGCTGACAAAGGACACCAGAAACAAAATTGTAGACCTGCACCAGGCTGGGAAGACTGAATCTGCAATAGGTAAGCAGCTTGGTTTGAAGAAATCAACTGTGGGAGCATTAATTAGGAAATGGAAGACATACAAGACCACTGATAATCTCCCTCGATCTGGGGCTCCACGCAAGATCTCACCCCGTGGGGTCAAAATGATCACAAGAATGGTGAGCAAAAATCCCAGAACCACACGGGGGGACCTAGTGAATGACCTGCAGAGAGCTGGGACCAAAGTAGCAAAGCCTACCATCAGTAACACACTACGCCGCCAGGGACTCAAATCCTGCAGTGCAGACGTGTCCCCCTGCTTAAGCCAGTACATGTCCAGGCCCGTCTGAAGTTTGCTAGAGTGCATTTGGATGATCCAGAAGAGGATTGGGAGAATGTCATATGTCATATGGTCAGATGAAACCAAAATAGAACTTGTCGTGTTTGGAGGACAAAGAATGCTGAGTTGCATCCAAAGAACACCATACCTACTGTGAAGCATGGGGGTGGAAACATCATGCTTTGGGGCTGTTTTTCTGCAAAGGGACCAGGACGACTGATCCGTGTAAAGGAAAGAATGAATGGGGCCATGTATCATGTGATTTTGAGTGAAAACCTCCTTCCATCAGCAAGGGCATTGAAGATGAAACGTGGCTGGGTCTTTCAGCATGACAATGATCCCAAACACACCGCCCGGGCAACGAAGGAGTGGCTTTGTAAGAAGCATTTCAAGGTCCTGGAGTGGCCTAGCCAGTCTCCAGATCTCAACACCATAGAAAATCTTTGGAGGGAGTTGAAAGTCCGTGTTGCCCAGCGACAGCCCCAAAACATCACTGCTCTAGAGGAGATCTGCATGGAGGAATGGGCCAAAATACCAGCAACAGTGTGTGAAAACCTTGTGAAGACTTACAGAAAACGTTTGACCTGTGTCATTGCCAACAAAGGGTATATAACAAAGTATTGAGAAACGTTTGTTATTGACCAAATACTTATTTTCCACCATAATTTGCAAATAAATTCATAAAAAATCCTACAATGTGATTTTCTGGATTTTTTTCCCTCATGTTGTCTGTCATAGTTGACGTGTACCTATGATGAAAATTACAGGCCTCTCTCATCTTTTTAAGTGGGAGAACTTGCACAATTGGTGGCTGACTAAATACTTTTTTTCCCCACTGTATATATATATATATATACACATACAGTGAGGGGAAAAAAGTATTTGATCCCCTGCTGGTTTTATAAGTTTGCCCACTGACAAAGAAATGATCAGTCTATAATTTTAATGGTACATTTATTTGAACAGTGAGAGACAGAATAACAACAAAAAAATCCAGAAAAACGCATGTCAAAAATGTTATAAATTGATTTGCATTTTAATGAGGGAAATAAGTATTTCACCCCCTCTCGATCAGAAAGATTTCTGGCTCCCAGGTGTCTTTTATACAGGTAACGAGCTGAGATTAGGAACACACTCTTAAAGGGAGTGCTCCTAATCTCAGTTTGTTACCTGTATAAAAGACACCTGTCCACAGAAGCAATCAATCAATCAATCAGATTCCAAACTCTCCACCATGGCCAAGACCAAAGAGCTCTCCAAGGATGTCAGGGACAAGATTGTAGACCTACACAAGGCTGGAATGGGCTACAAGACCATCACCAAGCAGCTTGGTGAGAAGGTGACAACAGTTGGTGCGATTATTCGCAAATGGAAGAAACACAAAATAACTGTCAATCTCCCTCGGCCTGGGGCTCCATGCAAGATCTCACCTCGTGGAGTTGCAATGATCATGAGAACGGTGAGGAATCAGCCCAGAACTACACAGGAGGATATTGTCAATGATCTCAAGGCAGCTGGGACCATAGTCACCAAGAAAACAATTGGTAACACACTATGCCGTGAAGGACTGAAATCCTGCAGTGCCCGCAAGGTCCCCCTGCTCAAGAAAGCACATATACAGGCCCGTCTGAAGTTTGCCATTGAACATCTGAATGATTCAGAGGAGAACTGGGTGAAAGTGTTGTGGTCAGAAGAGACCAAAATGGAGCTCTTTGGCATCAACTCAACTCGCTGTGTTTGGAGGAGGAGGAATGCTGCCTATGACCCCAAGAACACCATCCCCACCGTCAAACATGGAGGTGGAAACATTATGCTTTGGGGGTGTTTTTCTGCTAAGGGGACAGGACAACTTCACCGCATCAAAGGGACGATGGACGTGGCCATGTACTGTCAAATTTTGGGTGAGAACCTCCTTCCCTCAGCCAGGGCATTGAAAATGGGTCGTGGATGGGTATTCCAGCATGACAATGACCTAAAACACACGGCCAAGGCAACAAAGGAGTTGCTCAAGAAGAAGCACATTAAGGTCCTGGAGTGGCCTAGCCAGTCTCCAGACCTTAATCCCATAGAAAATCTGTGGAGGGAGCTGAAGGTTCGAGTTGCCAAACTTCAGCCTCGAAACCTTAATGACTTGGAGAAAATCTGCAAAGAGGAGTGGGACAAAATCCCTCCTGAGATGTGTGCAAACCTGGTGGCCAACTATAAGAAACGTCTGACCTCTGTGATTGCCAACAAGGGTTTTGCCACCAAGTACTAAGTCATGTTTTGCAGAGGGGTCAAATACTTATTTCCCTCATTTAAATGCAAATCAATTTATAACATTTTTGACATGCGTTTTTCTGGATTTTTTTTGTTGTTATTCTGTCTCTCACTGTTCAAATAAACCTACCATTACAATTATAGACTTATCATTTCTTTGTCAGTGGGCAAACGTACAAAATCAGCAGGGGATCAAATACTTTTTACCCTCACTGTATATACTAAGGACATGTGTATGAATAGCAAACAAGGCACTCGAAAGCCACAGCATGTCAAATTCAACTTAAAATACACATTGGCTATACATTGTGGGTCTATATATATCAATAAAAGCCAGTAGGGGCTGGTGACGGGAGGACGGCCCACAACAATGGCCGGAATGGAGTGAATGGAACAACACAAAACAGACAAACCCAAATGCTTGATACCATTCCACTCTTCCCTCCCCGGCCACCACTACGAGCCGTCCTCCCCTCACCAGCCTTATTTACCTTTGGTACACACATTTCACCACAGTGATTGTGTTCCTCCTACTCTATATAATATTTATGTTTATAGAAATGTGTTGTTTATTTGATGTATTGATGCAGGGCTTATCCGTAAAAGTATTCTTACTGATTTTGTTATTTATTCAGTCCGACCCCTGCTGCTGTCTCTGGCTCCACACCTAGCCCCCGCCCGGCCATCTAGAGGTGTGAAGAGGCCAGCCCAGAAGCGGCACTCTGTGCTAGAAGATGATGTGGAGCCACTTCCACCAACAGGACCTCAGCTGGCCATGACTGGAAAGTACAGCCCCCTTCATCTCTACCCCTCTACTCCTGCCACCAGTGGTGTTCACCTGCCAAAATACATAACTGCTGACAGGAATGTGCCAAAAGAGCACAGCAGGGAGGCGCCGTTGTATTTGTATTTATTATGGGTCCCCATTAGCTGCAGCCAAGGCAGCAGCTATTCTTCCTGCGGTCCAGCGAAATTAAGGCAGTTTATACAATTTTAAAAACATTACAATACATTCACTGATTTCACAACACACTGTGTGCCCTCAGGCCCCTACTCCACAACTACCACATATCTACAGTGTGTACGTGTGTGTATAGTGCGTATGTTATCCTGTGTGTGTGTGTGTGTGTGTGTGTGTGTGTGTGTGTGTGTGTGTGTGTGTGTATGCATGTGTCTGTGCCTGTGTTTGTGTTGCTTCACAGTCCCTGCTGTTCTATAAGGTGTATGAATGAGGGAGCTACATAACATTTAGTATGAAGTCACCCAGGTGTCTTCACAAGAAATCTCCTATCACCTGCACTACTTTTTCTGTTACCCTCTGCTTTACATCAGAAAGAGACTGCTATGGGACTTGGCATCAGCAGTACAATCTTGTGTAGAGGATTGAGGGTGTTCTAAATACTGTAATTGTAAATAGTGTGTAAATGTATATTATAATTGTTTCACTTTGTGTGTGGTTTGTGGTGTGTTCACATATGACATTAGATCAGTGTTGGCTGCTAACTTGGCCCTTACCTTAAATAGTTCACTTCTGTGTTGGGAGGCGTTGGATCAGCATTCTCATCGCATCTCCTGTTAGTACCTTTTATGTAGGGAATCTAATGATCCATCATGTATGACATTCCTGGGAATGTGTAAACTTGTATTTTTTATTACCATAGTATTTTTGTATGTTCTCTATAGTTATGTACTTGAAAATGTATCAATTTACCAATTCGGCCACTTGGGTACATTTGGGTGAACTCGTGAGGGACACCTGGGTAACTTCATTCTAAATGTTATGTAGCTCCCTCATTCTTGATGGTGTCAGTCTGAAACTTTGCACATACACTGTTGCCCTCTTGTGGACAACATCTAAATGACCTCCAGCTTCCTATCTGAATGTATGGCTTTTCTTTTTCATGTCAAAGATGATAAAATAAAAATAGATAATATGTTTTTTTGTTTGTTTAATCTTTTACCAGATCTATTGTTTGTTCTCCTACATTAATTTCACATTTCCACAAACTTCAAAGTGTTTCCTTTTCAAATAGTACCAAGAATATGCATATCCTTGCTTCAGGTCCTGAGCTACAGGCAGTTAGATTTGGGTATGTCATTTTAGGCAGAAATTGAAAAGAAGGGTCTGATCCTTAAGAGGTTAACACCCTTACGATAAGTGCCATGGGCTCTTTAGTGAGCACAGAGAGTCAGGACATCCGTTGTAACTTCCCATCTGAAAGATGGCACCCTAAACAAGGCAACGTCCCCAATCACTGCCCTGGGGCATTGGGATATTTATTTCGACCTACTGGCCCTCCAGTACCACTTCCAGCAGCATCTGGTCTCCCATCCAGGGACTGACCAGGGCCAACCCTGCTTAGCTTCAGAGGCAAGCCAGCAGTTGGGATGCAGGGTGCTATGCTGCTGGCAAATAAACTTGATATGGTCTAAATGAACGAAAGCCTGAATTAACTTCATAATTAACTGATAATAAACTGAATTAGCCTATCGTAAACAAATAAGTGCTTGCATTTTTGCAGGCTGTGTATCCATCTACCGGGTTGTTGTCCTTATCCACAATGACTCCAAAATCCTTCCTAACCAAACCGGGGATTTCACTCACTGTGTGGTATCTTACCCACGTTGTATTTCATAACCTTTCTATTTCTCCGGTTACGTTAGCCATTTTCACGTGAACTAGGCTAGCCAGGAAAAGTAGGCTAAACTTGGCAATGTATTCTCACGTGGGGGGATGAAACATATGTTTTCAGCACCACAGGAATAATGGACAGTTCCCTGACCCACTGCGTGCATGGCTTGTAGCCTACAGTATATGTCTGCCTCACCACTCAGAATGGAATTCGCAACATCATGCAACACAACAAGCTCCTGGGTTTGTAAAAACAATATCTTAATTTCAAAAGTTTCTGACCCGCAATATAATTGTTCTGAACTGCGAGCCGATACGCGGGTTGAAAGAATGTTTTCATTCCCACCCGCCACCATATTTTTTTGCAGATATCCAACCCGATGCAGGCTCTACTGTAAGATACCACACAGTTACTGAACACAATGGTATATCATTCTGTAGTACTGTATTCTCTTTGGGGTTAGAATTCTGGAAACTTTTGCAAAATTCCTATGTTTTCCTAAATTCCAAGTTTGAGAAATATTAGGGAAAGTTTCAACCCTAAATGTTGCAACCCTAATCCTCTATATCCACATTGCTTTGTAGACTTCCTCCTGTGGATTGATGGCTTTGGCCGAGTTCTCCCTATCCGGACGGGGTCAGGGACCTCCCTAGGTGTGGCCCCCAAAGCCCCAGAGGGATCCGCAGCCGTGACAGCCCTCAATTCAGACTTTCAAAAGTTCTCCCCCTTCGCCCCACTAGTGGTAGGGGGGGACCAGCGACCCGTCGAGGGGGACGATGCAGTGAACTTTCTGCCCCACCACATGCAGCGAGGGGCAAACCCTGCCTCGGCCCAGAGGGCGGGTCCTAATGGCGGGGGCCCTCTGGACTACAACCCTTACTACACGCCGGCCGATTACTACTCCAGCCTGGCCAAGGAGCACTCTTTGGAGAGCCAGGACAGCTCCACGCTCAGCGGCCCTCCCTCAGACAGCCTGGCACAGCCAGGGGCCTCCGGGGCAGGGGCATCTGCCACATCTGCCCTAGATTCCCTCTTCCAATTCTCCATTGGAAAAATCCTAGTGGAGGAGGGAGGGGCGGAGGTGGGGCCGGGGAGTCAGGGGCTCAACTGCGAGCTTCCTGCATTCTATGAGGGGGTGGCGCACCCTGAAGGGGCGGACGGGGACGTGAAGCCCACCTTGCCACTTCAACTTCACCCGGCCAATCGAGCCAACGCAAAGAGGGTGGCGGTGGACCAGCGGCAGCTGAAGAGGTCAGTGCTGATGGATCCCCAAATCTGTCCATTCAGATTTGTATCCTCAACTAAGTGCTTGATAATGCATCAGTGGAGCAATGCAAGCTAGAGAATAACTTTCAGAAAGATAGTTTTGTTTTTTTGGAGGTCTGCCATCTTTCTACCGTCTTTCTAAATGATAAATTATTTGTTAATCGCTGTATACCACTTCCTTTCTTCTTTCAGAGTGATCATGTCGGTGAATGACAAGTGGCACTACTGTCACAACTCTGAGGTGCTGGTGGGCTCCCGGGCCATGAGAGACCGTCACCTGCTACTCCTGGGATATGTCATCCTGCAGGTGAGCCCATACCATTTCAACCATCTTAAAAACCAAATTTTTTAACCATTTTACAAACCACATTGTAAACCTCTTACAAACCATATTTTAACCATCTTACAACCACATTTCAACCAAATTTCAGTATTCCCTTACCTTCATTACAATCATCCTATGAAGCTTTTGAATTGGCAACTGGTCTACTAATGGTCCACTTGGCCCAAATAAAGAAAAACTAAGTGTAATCCCTCCTTGTGTTTTCTCTATTCTCTGCTCCTCTTTTTCCTCTCTCCCTCTGTTGTTCCTGTCTTCCACAGCTGCCCTATCATGAGCTGGAGAAGCTGAATGGTATAGAGGAGGTGAAGCAGTACCTCCACAAAAAGCTCCTGGAGGTCCCCTTATGACAACAAAAGACTTGAGTTTGTGTTTGTGTGCGCGAGTGTATGCCATTTTGGCTGCTTGGAATAGGGCGGTTGTTGGTGGGATTGGGAAAGGGGGCGTGGTTTGGGGTGGAAGAAAAACCCTGGTCAAAGTCTAAAACTGAAGAGTTTCTGGCAACTTGCTCTTACATTCATCAAAATGGTGCCAGCCTATTTGCAACCAGTCACGTCCCCAGTTGATGACATGTCTAGTATCATGTTGTCAATGCAATCTTGTCATTGTCACTTCACAACGGTTCAAATCTAATTTTATTGGTCGCGTACACATATTTTGCTAATGTTTTCGCGAGTGTAGCAAAATGCATCCTAGCTTCAACAGTGCAGTAATGCCTATCAATACAAAAACAATACACGCAAATCCAAAAATCTAAAGGAAAGGAATTAAGAAATAAAGAAATATTAGAATGCGCAATGTCAGAGTCCGGAATAAAAAATACACTATATATACAAAAGTATGTGGTCACCCCTTCAAATTAGTGGATTCGGCTATTTCAGCAACACCCGTTGCTGAAAGTTGTATAAAATCGAGCACACAGACATGCAATCTCCATATTCAAACATTGGCAGTAGAATGGCCTTACTGAAGAGCTCAGTGACTTTCAACTTGGCACCGTTATAGAATGCCACCTTTCCAACAAGTCAGTTCGTCAAATGTCTGCCCTGCTAAAGCTGACCCGGTCAACTGTAAGTGCTGTTATTGTAAAGTGGAAACGTCTAGGAGCAACAACGGCTCAGCTGTGAAGTGGTCACACAAGCTGACAGAACGGAACCGCCGAGTGCTGTAGTGCGTAGCGCGTAAAAATCGTCTGTCCTCGGTTGCAACACTCACTACTGAGTTCCAAACTGCCTCTGGAAACAACGTCAGCACAATAACTGTTCATCGGGAGCTTCATGAAATGGGTTTCCATGGCCGAGCAGCCACACACAAGTCTAAGATCACCATGCGCAATGCCAAGCGTCGGCTGGAATGGTGTAAAGCTCGCTGCCATTGGACTCTGGAGTAATGGAAACGCATTCTCTGTAGTGATGAATCCCGCTTCACCATCTGGCAGTCTGGCGGACAAATCTGGGTTTGGTGGATGCCAGGAGAATGCTACCTGCCCCAATGCATAGTGCCAAGTGTAAAGTTTGGAGAAGGATAATGGTCTGGGGCGGTTTTTCATGGTTCGGGCTAGGCCCCTTAGTTCCAGTGAAGCTATTAAAAAAAAATATATATATATATTTTTAGGAGGTAGATCAGCTTTAATATTGCAGATAGATTGTAATTTCTGCATCACTTCCAATCCCCCATATGTTTTTTTCTCTCGCATATATATATATATATATATATATATATATATATATATATATATACACTGCTCAAAAAAATAAAGGGAACACTAAAATAACACATCCTAGATCTGAATGAATGAAATAATCTTATTAAATACTTTTTTCTTTACATAGTTGAATGTGCTGACAACAAAATCACACAAAAATTATCAATGGAAATCAAATGTATCAACCCATGGAGGTCTGGATTTGGAGTCACCCTAAAAATTAAAGTGGAAAACCACACTACAGGCTGATCCAACTTTGATGTAATGTCCTTAAAACAAGTCAAAATGAGGCTCAGTAGTGAGTGTGGCCTCCACGTGCCTGTATGACCTCCCTACAACGCCTGGGCATTCTCCTGATGAGGTGGCGGATGGTCTCCTGAGGGATCTCCTCCCAGACCTGGACTAAACCATCCGCTAACTCCTGGACAGTCTGTGGTGCAACGTGGCGTTGCTGGATGGAGCGAGACATGATGTCCCAGATGTGCTCAATTTGATTCAGGTCTGGGGAACGGGCGGGCCAGTCCATAGCATCAATGCCTTCCTCTTGCAGGAACTGCTGACACACTCCAGCCACATGAGGTCTAGCATTGTCTTGCATTAGGAGGAACCCAGGGCCAACCTCACCTGCATATGGTCTCACAAGGGGTCTGAGGATCTCATCTCGGTACCTAATGGCAGTCAGGCTACCTCTGGCGAGCACATGGAGGGCTGTGCGGCCCACCAAAGAAATGCCACCCCACACCATGACTGACCCACCGCCAAACCGGTCATGCTGGAGGATGTTGCAGGCAGCAGAACGTTCTCCACGGCGTCTCCAGACTCTGTCACGTCTGTCACATGTGCTCAGTGTGAACCTGCTTTCATCTGTGAAGAGCACAGGGCGCCAGTGGCGAATTTGCCAATCTTCGTGTTCTCTGGCAAATGCCAAATGTCCTGCACGGTGTTGGGCTGTAAGCACAACCCCCACCTGTGGACGTCGGGCCCTCATACCACCCTCATGGAGTCTGTTTCTGACCATTTGAGCAGACACATGCACATTTGTGGCCTGCTGGAAGTCATTTTGCAGGGCTCTGGCAGTGCTCCTCCTGCTCCTCCTTGCACAAAGGCGGAGGTAGCAGTCCTGCTGCTGGGTTGTTGCCCTCCTACGGCCTCCTCCACGTCTCCTGATGTACTGGCCTGTCTCCTGGTAGCGCCTCCATGCTCTGGACACTACGCTGACAGACACAGCAAACCTTCTTGCCACAGCTCGCATTGATGTGCCATCCTGGATGAGCTGCACTACCTGAGCCACTTGTGTGGGTTGTAGACTCCGTCTCATGCTACCACTAGAGTGAAAGCACCGCCAGCATTCAAAAGTGACCAAAACATCATCCAGGAAGCATAGGAATTGAGAAGTGGTCTGTGGTCACCACCTGCAAAACCAGTCCTTTATTGGGGGTGTCTTGCTAATTGCCTATAATTTCCACCTGTTGTCTATTCCATTTGCAAAACAGCATGTGAAATGTATTGTCAATCAGTGTTGCTTCCTAAGTGGACAGTTTGATTTCACAGAAGTGTGATTGACTTGGAGTTACATTGTGTTGTTTAAGTGAAGTCCCTTTATTTTTTTGAGCAGTGTATATATATATATACACACACACATCCTTTCAAAAAATATATTTACCTTTATTACTTTCCAACCCCACCACCCCTTCCCTAATTGGAGTAAACTAGTGAACAACAATGCTTAGGCCTCTACTTCCAGCTTACACATACTATATACATTTTATGGACAGTCAATTTTACAATAATTCTATTTTGTTTGTTTTTAGTCCTAAACTTCCTCTACCCTCAACCTCTCTGATCATTTTCATGATGTCCATCCTGTTTGCTTCTATATGCCATATCTTTCTAACTGTGCTCTTTCACAAAAGCTCTCAACCTATAACCTATATACTTATTATGGACACAGTATGCTTACATTATTAGTTATCTTGTTGTTTTTAGTGAAGGGAAATGTTAACGCTAAAGCATACAATGACATTCTAGACGATTCTGTGCTTCAACTTTGTGGCAACAGTTTGGGGAAGACCCTTTCCTGTTTCAGCATGACAATGCCCCCGTGCTCAAAGCGAGGTCCATACAGAAATGGTTTGTCGAGATCGGTGTGCAAGAATTTGACTGGCCTGCACAGAGCCCTGAGCTCAACCCCATCGAACACATTTGGGATGAATTGGAACGCCGACTGCGAGCCAGGCCTAATCGCCCAACATCAGTGCCCAGGGGGGACCAGCAAAGGGTGGACCAACTCCATATTAATGCCCATGATTTTGGAATTAGATGTTTAACGAGCAGGTGTCCACATACTTTTGGTCATGTGGTGTAGAAGCTGTTTTTCAGTCTCTCGGTCCCAGCTTTGATGCTCCTGTACTGTCGTCGCCTTCTAGATGGTAGCGGGGTGAACAGGCCGTGGCTCGGGTGGCTGAGGTCCTTGATGATCTTCTCCATCCTGTGACACCGGTTGCTGTAGATGTCCTGGAGGGCAGGCAGTGTGCCCCCGGTGATGCGTTGGGCTGACCGCCCCACCCACTGGAGAGCCCTGCGGTTGCGGACGGTGCAGTTGCCGTACCAGGCGGTGATACAGCCCAACAGGATGCTCTCAATAGTGCATCTGTAGAACTTAGTAATTGTCTTAGGGGCCAAGCCAAATTTCTACAGCCTCCTGAGGTTGAATAGGCGCTGTTGACATCTTGCCTACGGACAATTTCTAATATATCACAATAGCATGACTAAACAGTCGTGTTCATTTTAGATTTTGACCAGCGTATTTCTATAGTTCTAGTTTTGATCATGGTTTGGTGTGAACAAGTGGGAAATAAATTGTTGTTATTATTATTATTATTATTATTATTATTATTATAGTCATTCAGAGATGACAATATTCTGGTATTTTTTCTTGAACTCCAGTTGTAACGCATGTCGGGACTACTTTGTTTGGTTGGGACTTGGGGAATAGGTTCGCTACTGCCGTCAGAACCGCAACTGTTCATACAGGATCAAATGTAACTGGGTGACGGGGATGACATGGGGTTTATTGAGACAAACAAATGGGGCCTCTTCAGTGTTTTCTAATACTGGTGCACACCGTATGTAGACGAATGGACTGTAGGATGTAAATGAGAGATGAGGATGGATAAATTAAGTTAATGAAAAAACATAGCTTATATTTTTGTCAGCCCTAGAATGGCTTTTCCAGTGTCCAGAACAAAGCCGTGGATCGTGGAAGACTATTTTCTACTTGTTTTGTCTTTGGCGCTTCACATTCAGAGAGGAATTTGTGATTCCTTCAGTGAGTTTCCACCATTTGCATTGACAATGAAACACGTTTTCCAGTGGGGAATTGCTAGACACCAGACTAGTTAAATTAGATGTAATTGTATTGGAAGGTCCATAGTACAGTGAGTGTATTGCTATGAAATTGACAAGTGGATACAGTTAATCTGAGAACCTTTTGTTTTCTCAGTGGTATTTGAAATGGAACCCTGACCTAAGTTTTGCATGACTGAGGTGATGCAGTGATGTGCATGGAACAATTGCTAATTGGTGTTTGATACTGGACTTGCTGACAATGACACGTTTTATTTCAAATGTTTGTCTCAAAGCGATGCAAATATTTGTAGAGACAGTCCATTACCTTTGTACAGGACCCCAAACACTTGGACTTTGTAAGGGAGGCAGAAATGGCTTATGGGATTATTGTGGTTCCACCAATTCCACCCCAGTTTTACTGGGTGTTTTGTCTTTGCTCTCAGTTGATGTACTCCTGTATGTCCTCCTGTATGTACTCCTGTATGTCCTCCTGTATGTAGCCGTGCAGGAAGAGAATAGGGTAACACCAAGGAATTATATATACACTAGATGACTGATAGGGGGCGCTGTGATGAAGCCACCGTGCCTCCATCTTGGCACTCCCCCAAGCTAAGCTATATGCAATTGTTTTAAGGTCATACCAAGGATCATTTTGCTATTTGATTTTGAGACTCCTTAAAGTATGAAAAAAAAATAGTAAAACATGATTTGATGGAGAAATAAAAATGGGCCTTACAACTGTTAGCCCATTCAGATTAACTACATGAAACAGCTAGCCACCCCAAAAAAAATCTAAAGGAAGTTTGTTCTGAAGTGTCTGTCCTTTATTTGAAAGATCAGGATTTGTGTAAAACATATATATATTTTTTTACACGTATCTAACCCCTTATTTTTTGGCACTAAATAGTGTCCATAAATACTTCCATTTATTTTTTTCAACCGGTACCAGGGGACCTTCAGACGAGGCTTGTGAGGCCAAAACAACCGACGTGTTTGTGAGAGTCATCTTTCCATAGAGGGTTCATAATAGTTTGTAGGCCAAACCGTTTGGACGCTACAGACTATCTTGTGAGAAGACCGATCTTCGGGATGTCTCATGGTCTGACAAATACCGCGCCAGCTCTGTCTTTCACCGCAGATGCGGAAGTGTGACATAGACGAGTGCTGTGGATTGATGCAAATAAAACAGATCTCTAGCTTAAACTGATAGATTTTTATGGGGATGTTTTTATTATGCTAATTAGATGTCCGCGGGGGTGCGGACATCGACCTTAGGGGTTTATATTAACGAATGCATTTGTAAGGATCCATGGGCTGTTCTGAATGCTTGTTGCAAGTCTTTACAAAGCACTACGGCTGTGATAGTAGGCACTATAAATGCATAATGCACAGGTGGTTTCGAGTGTTTGTATTTATTTATTGCTATTGGTGTCACTCCTCTGGTACAGGGGATGTGAGAGTGGGGAAAGACAAGGTTGAGAAAGATTGTTTATATATATACATATTGAAATGTCTGTATAAAAATGTATATAAAAACATAAAAGCAATGTCTGTCATTTTTTTGTGTGAAATATGTATGAAAATAATATCAATTTGTTGGGTAACAAAGAGGACGTGAATTGTATGTACTGCAGAAATGTACATTTTACATAGAAGAAAAAAAGTATGAGCAATTTCTAACAGTTGCATTTGTATTACACTTGCAACCATACAATACTTTTTTGTAATTTGATTGTAAAATGGAAAGCTGTTGTGATTCATTTAAATCACTAGGAAAATTGTCAAATTGCTTTCTAAGTTACATGACTATTAGATGTAACATTTTGCTGCATCAGAAAAACTGAATTTAAAGGTGCACTATGCAGAAATCACTCGGCCATTTCCTGGTTGCTAATATTCTAATAGTTAGCCTAATTTCAGTTTGTGACTAAACAAGCAAGTATATAGTGTAGAGAATCATTGTACCATCTAAACCGCTGTGAAATATATTTTCCATAATGAAAAATATTGTATTTTCAGCTGTTTGAAACTGGTGTAAAAAACCGAAAGTAGAAGACGGAAAGCATAGAAATGGCACGCACAGAACAGATCTACCACTTCTTAGAATTGCTTTCAATGAGAATGATGGATCTATAACACATTTCTATGTGAATTTGGTCAGGTCGCTTTAAAAGTAGCTTTAGCTGCAATTACGTGACCTGTAAGATCTTATGCAGACGCGTTCTTCAGAAAGGGATACTTTTGTAATATCAGTTTTATAAATCGTTGTCAAATACTGAAGCTTAATACATACAGGTATCTAAAATTGTCTTTGGGAAATCAACTACAGCCAAGGTTAGTGGAAAAAGGTATGGCTGTATTGAGTGGATCGTCCCTTCCTAGAAATGTGCAATACTTCTTAGGTCTAATGCTGCATTAATGCCCAAGTGGGAAGCTAGTAAATATCAGTTGGATGCATTCACGTGCTTTAAACTTTTTATAAATGTTTTGTTGCATGTAACTGCCGAAACTGCTGTTATCGCGGTCAGCATGTGTGAAAAGTTGGAGCTCAGGGATGATAGACGAGTTTCCCACTAGTAATTACGCATTCAAGTGGATTTTTCCCAGTCATATGTTGTAAATACCACTTGGTTATGAACACAGCATAAGTTCTGGCTAAATGTAGTGTACTATATTAGTAACAGAGCTGAGCATACTTCTTTCTCTCTTACATTGAAAAGCTTTAAATCCAGTACAATCAAATATACATCCATTAAAAGGTTGAAATCACACAAGAAGAATTCAAGAGAAAAAAGTGCATTTTATTTTTGAGGGTTTGACCAGATGTTTCAATGGAGGGAAAGCAGCAACAGTCCTCCCTCTGCACGGACTGTTAGACCCAAGGACAAAAAAACAGCAAACTCCTCAATATGCCCCTCCCAGTCAAACTCTGTAGAAACCATTCTTGTTCAAAAAAGCCTAAACTGCTTTAATTAGAAATTTCCTTCTCAAAAGTTTTAAAAAAGAAAAATGTTGCAACAAGTTCATAATAAACACCTAGAAAGGCATTGAACACGTAACAAAGCCCCTGTAAAAGAGATCTTGTCCCAGTTGAATAAAAGTGCTCCGGGTCAACAACGGTGGGAGCATGACTTTTCCATTCCTCCCTTTATTTCTTCCCTCAGTCTCACTCTCTCCCGTCTCTCATTTCTCCTTGTGAGAAAGAGGTGGGCGGAGCCAACGTGTGAGCGACTTGATGACGCCGCTGTGACTGCGCCTGACTTGCGAGGAGGCGTGTCCCGCACAGCCCCTCCTATTTGGGGGGGGGGGGGTGGCTAGTCTGAGTCCGAGTCACTGCTGTCCTCTGAGGAAGAGCTGCTGGAGCCCTCGGATGGGTCGTCGTCATCATCATTCTAGAGGACAGAGACAGTAGAACATCTGGGTCAAATACATTTGACTATTAGTGCTGTGTTTGATTTGGTTTGCCCACCTCAAATACTTTTATATTTTGCTTATGTATTTGACCCAAGTCTGCACTAAAGCATAGTGCCGATGACCTTTGGCTTAGAAAATTCACCTCATCATCGTCGTCATCTTCACTGTCGGAGCTGCCGGACGATTCTTCGTCGTCATCAGAGTCTGACGAGTCCGTCTTGTCATCGTCCGAGTCGGACGAATCCTGCTGGAGAGCACAGGGTCACGCCTTTACCGCAAACTCGCATGTTTACAGAATGTCACACAGACGTGCACAGTATACATGCTTATAACGGCACATGGAATACACAATTACAGGACACAAACACGATAGCATAACATATACCACGCACACAAACACCCTCCGATGATAACAGGTTAAAACACACTAACTAAAAACGTACTGACGTAAAAGCACGTAAGACACAGCAAAATGTACGAGTAACCAGTGTCATACTGCCACAGACAAAATGCAGACTGTTTGAGCCTTAATCACAGTAGGGACTGCTAAAGCCCACAGAGGAATCCAGGTCTTGACGATCTACCTTAACTCAGGGTTTCCCAAACTCAGTACTGGGACTCCCCTGGGTGCACGTTTTGGTTTTTGCCCTAGCACTACACAGTTGATTAAAATAATTTGGTTTTTAAACCATTAAAATGGCAGGAGCCCACACACAGCCCAAGGTACCACAGCCTGACCACCACCCATGCACATGCCACTGCCTCAAAATCAGAGTGTTTGTGTGTAAGGGACTGAGTGAGTGTGACTAATGCTTCTGTGTGTGAGTGCGTGGATTTTGAGTGCACGCCTGTATATCTCCGTCTCTGTGTGTGTGTGTGAGAGAAGCAGTCTGGCGAGAGCGTCGGAGTTACCTTGGCCCGGTACGCCATGGCCCGCTTGCCCCCCCCGACCCCTGCTGCTGCGGCTCTGGCACCTACCGCCTTCCCCTTCACTGTCGCCGTCACGCACACCTTGGCCCCCTGGGCCCCCCGCACCTTGGTGGTGCTCCGCCGTTTCTGCATGGGGGAAGCGAGAAGGGAGGGGGTGGGTGGGTGGTGAGGGAGAGATGGAGGACAGTGGGTGGGTGGTGAGGGAGAGATGGAGGACGGTGGGTGAGGGAGAGATGGAGGACGGTGGGTGAGGGAGAGATGGAGGACGGTGGGTGAGGGAGAGATGGAGGACGGTGGGTGAGGGAGAGATGGAGGACGGTGGGTGGGTGGTGAGGGGGGAGATGGAGGACGGTGGGTGAGGGAGAGATGGAGGACGGTGGGTGAGGCAGAGATGGAGGACGGTGGGTGGGTGGTGAGGGAGAGATGGAGGACGGTGGGTGGGTGGTGAGGGAGAGATGGAGGACGGTGGGTGGGTGGTGAGGGAGAGATGGAAGACGGAGAGGGAGAATGGACAGGGGGGTGAAAATATGTAGGTTGGGCGGCACACAAACACGGTTCAAGCTCAAAGGAATGATGATTAGTAGCTAGATGCTAATATAATTATGTTATTTTGCCATTCAAATGCAATAATGTTAGATGCCCGCTTGTGCATACAGATAGTCACTATTGCAGTCACATCAGGCTACAAAGACAGAACAAGCGGGCATCTAACAAAATATATATTTGTTGTATGGTTTTTAGTACTCCAGCTACAGAGAAGAGAGTAGCTGTAGCTATGGAATATGAAGGCTGTGAATGGGGAATACAACTATTATAGCATTAGTGTGTGTTTGGGGCATTGTATATGAAGTGCTATGTTAAATGAGTGTTTCTCACCGTGGTGGAGAACTCTCTATAAACCGCTCGCTCCTGGGGAGAGAGAGACTGAAGGGGACGAGAGAAAGAAAGATGGGGGAAAAGAGTAAGGGGGAAGAAATGACCAAATAAAAAGACTGATTTCTTCCAAAAGTGCTGTCGCTAACATTTGATCTATCATTTCAACTGTTTAATGATTTTTGAAGAATAAATACAACAATACAGGTTCTGAGTATGCGTCTTGTATCAATGTATCCTTATGCGATCTGGCTCGTTCCGTTTGATATTTGAATGCTTATTTGATTATTTTCAGGCAAGGCGACTAACAAATAGCCATTCTTTGACCTATGACCCCGAAGATTACCCTCCCTTACCTTGACCCAGGCCTCCAGCTCGGCCTTGTACCCGATCTGCTGCTCCTCCACCAGCTTTTTGTACTTGTCCTTGTGGCTCTGGCTGAGCTTGTGCCAGCGCTTGCCGATCTCCACCATGCGCTCCTTCAGGCTGAAGTGGTTCAGCTCGCCGTTGGTCAGCAGCTCCTGGGAGAACATCTGGTAGCCACTCCTGCAGAGAGAGAGACAGGGAGAATGGTTTAATTCAAGATGAATTACACCCACATAGCAGTCAATACAAACTAAGGGTGTGAACATTTAAATGAAAAGTAACCCTTAACATTAAGAAAAATCCCTAAACTAAAAACAATGAGGGTTTTTTCTCCACAAAATGTTTTACAAAATCACAGTGCGGTTATCACAAAACGACCACTAGCAGGTCCCACTCCTCATCATAAAGGGAAAATATTTAACAAATAGGCCTACCTAATGCAACAATGCTGTAATATTAGTAAGAGGGGATATGCAGCATCTTCCAAATTATTTGCCACGGATACAAAGCAATACACACATCTTTAACAGTTGGAGAAAAAAAAGCGTTGATTACAGAAATTATTCCAAATGGCACACTATAGCAGTTTGCAAAAAATCCAAAAACAAACCTAGACAAGACTCATTTATTATTCCAAACTGCAGCTCGTGGTTGGAACACACATTTCCCTACTTTAATCAACCAGTCCATTTTGAATTTGTGGTAAAGCGGTCTTGATTTGGCAAGGAATGTAGCTCGTCTACATTTGTTTGTGTAGCCCATCAGTTTTTATAGGCAGTAATTTCTGTAGGCCTAATGTGTAGAGGGAGTGGTCGGATCCAAATTGAGTGAGAGTCACGAAATGGAGGGAAAAGAGAATGTAGGGAGAAGAATTGTGATCACTTGGCTAGGTTTACTTTTTGTTGTGAGTAGCTAATGCACATAATGAAATGGAAGGAATACTAGAGTCAACGTGAATTAATGGTTGTCTTCAGGACAAGATTTCACCTGCCCGAAGCAGATTCCAGATGTCGCCCCCTAGCAGTCACACCAGGCAATATGATTTGACATGGAATTTTATGAAAATGTCTTATTTTCAAGATACACTATGCAGAATTCGCTCCGCCATTTCCTGGTTGCTAAAATTCTAATAGTGTGCCTATTTTCAGTTTATGTAACAAAACAAGCAAGTATAGAGAATCATTGTACCATCTAAACTGCTGTGAAATATATTTTCCATAACCAAAAAGATTGTATTTTCAGCTGTTTGAAGCTGGTGTACAAAACCGAAAGTAAAAGACGCAAAAACTAAACTTCAGAACGGGAAGCTTAGAAAAGGCGCACATAGAACAGACCTATCGCTTTTTAGACTTGCTTGCAATGAGAATGACAGATCTATAACTCACATTTCTATGTGAATTTGGTTGGGTCGCCCAAAAAGTGACATACTGCAGCTTTAACCAATAAATAAAATAGCGGTTTAAATGTTTTCCATTTGTCACATCCCTAACAAAAACTGCAATCCAAGAGCAAATAAATGGCATAGGTCCATCTAAATACACTGAACAAAAATATAAACGCAACATGTAAAGTGTCCCATGTTTCATGAGCTAAAATAAAAGATCCCCGAAATTTTTCATATGCACAAAAAGCTTATTTCTCAAAAATGTTGTGCACAAATGTGTTTTTAATTTTATTTAACTAGGCAAGTCAGTAAAGAACAAATTCTTATTTACAATGACGGCCTACCAAAGCAAAGGCCTCCTGCGGGGACGGGGACTGGGATGAAAAATTTAAATATAGGACAAAACACACATCATGACAAGAGACACAACAACACTACATCCCTGTTAGTGAGCATTTCTCCTTTGCCAAGATAATCCATCCACCTGACAGGTGTATCATATCAAATAGCATATCATTACACAGGTGTACCTTGTGCTGGGCACAACAAAAGGCCACTAAAATGTGCAGTTTTGTCACACAACACAATGCCTCAGATGCCTCAAGTTGAGGGAGCATGCAATTGGCATGCTGACTGCAGGAATGTCCACCAGAGCTGTTGCCAGATAATTGAATATTAATTTCTTTACCATAAGCCGCCTCCAACATCATTTTAGAGAATTTGGCAGTACATCCAACCGGCCTCACAACCGCACACTACGTGTATGGCGTTGTGTGGGTGAGCGGTTTGCTGGTGTGAACAAAGTGCCCCATGGTGGCGGTGAGGTTATGGTATGGGCAGGCAGGCATAAGCTACAGACAACAAACACTGTGCATTCAAATTGCCATTGATAAAATGCAATAGAGATACCATGACGAGATCCTGAGGCCCATTGTCGTGCCATTCATCCACCACCATCATCTCATGTTTCAGCATGATAATGCACGGCCCCACGGCGCAAGGATCAGTACACATTTTTTACATTTACATTTTAGTGATTTAGCAGACGCTCTTATCCAGAGCGACTTACATGAGCAATTAGGGTTAAGTGCCTTGCTCAAGGGCACACGACAGATTTTTCACCTAGTCGGCTCGGGGATTAGAACCAGTGACCTTTTGGTTACTGGCACAACGCTCTTAACCACTAAGCTACCTGCCGCCACTACACTACACAATTCCTGGAAGCTGAAAATGTCCCAGTTCTTCCATGGCCTGCATACCCACCAGACATGTCACCCATTGAGCGTGTTTGGGATGCTCTGGATTGAGAGCGTGTTCCAGTTCCCGGCAATATCCAGCAACTTCGCACAGCCATTGAAGAGGAGTGGGACAAAATACCACAGGCCACAATCAACAGCCTGATCAACTCTATGCGAAGGAGATGTGTCGCACTGCATGAGGAAATGGTGGTCACCCCAGATACTGACTGGTTTTCTGACCCATGCTCCTACCTTTTCTTTTTTAAGAAAAAAAAGTATATCTTTATTCCCAGTCATGTGAAATCCATAGATTAGGGCCTAATTTATTTATTTCAATTGACTGATTTCCTTATATGAACTGTAAATTGTTGCATGTAGCGTTTATATTTTTGTTCGGTATACATATTTACAGTGCCTTCAGAAAGTATTCACACCCCTTGACTTTTCCCACATTTTGTTATGTTACAAAGTGGGATTAAAATATATTTAATTGTCAACAATCTACACAAAATACTATGTTATGTCAAAGTGGAAGAAAAATTCTAACATGAACAACACAATATGAAAAATAAAACACTAACATATCTTGATTAGTTAAGTATTCAACCCCCTGAGTCAATACACGTTAGAATCAACTTTGCCAGTGAGTACACCTGTGAGTCTTTCTGGGTAAGCCTCTAAGAGCTTTCCACACCTGGATTGTGCAACCATTGCCCATTATTCTTTTCAAAGAATGTCAAGCTCTGTCAAATTGGTTGTTGATCATTGCTAGACAACCATTTTCAAGTCTTGCCATTTTCAAGCAGATTAAAGTCAAAACTGTAACTCAGAACGTTCACTGTCTTCTTGGTAAGCAACCCCAGTGTAGATTTGGCCTTGTGTTTTAAGTTATTGTCCTGCTCAAAGGTGAATTAATCTCTCAGTGTCTGGTGGAAAGCAGACTGAACCAGGTTTTCCTCCTTAACGATTACAAGCATACCCATAACATAATTCAGCCACAACTATGCTTGAAAATATGGAGAATGGTACACAGTAATGTTTTGTATTAGATTTGCTCCAAACATAACATTTTGTATACAGGACAAAAAGTGAATTGCTTTGCCACATTTTTTTGCAGGATTACTTTAGTGCCTTGTCACAAACAGGATGCATGTTTTGGAATATGTTTATTCTGTACAAGCTTCCTTTTCACTGTCAGTTAGGTTAGTGTTGTGGAGTAACTACAATGTTGTTGACCCATCCTCAGTTTTCTCCTATCACAGCCATTAAACTCTGTAACTGTTTTAAAGTCACCATTGGCCTCATGGTGAAATCCCTGAGCGTTTTCCTTCCTCTCAGGCAACTCAGTTAGGAAGGACGCCTGTATCTTTGTGTTGACTAAGTGAAGTGAATTGATTCACCATCCAAAGTGTAATTAATAACTTCACCATGCTCAAAGGAATATTCAATGTCTGCTTTTTTTATTTGTACCAATCTACCAATAGGTGCCCTTCTTTGCAAGGCATTGGAAAACCTCCCTGGTCTTCGTGGTTGAATCTGTGTTTGAAATTCACTGCTCGACTGAGGGATCTTACAGATAATTGTATGTGTGGAGTACAGAGATGAGGTAGACATTCAAAAATCATGTTAAACACTATTATTGCACACAGAGTGAGTTTATGAAACTTATTAAGCACATATTTACTCCTGAACTTATTTAGGCTTGCCATAACAAAGGGGTTGAATACTTATTGACTCAAGACATATCAGCTTTTCATTTCTAATTAATTTGTAAACATTTCGAACACTTTGACATGATGGGGTTTTGTGTGTAGGCCAGTGACCAAAAATTCAGGCTGTAACAACAAAATTTGGAAAAAGTCAAGGGGTGTGAATACTTTCTGAAGGCACTGTATAAATTGATAAAAGGACATGCAAGGGACCTATACGAAAAACAATTAGCAACACACAAAAGTAAGTGAATCTAAGAGCCTCTAGACTTAAAGTCCCTGATTAAGGTGGTGAACGACACTAAAAAAGGAGAAAAACAATGATGGTGCAGGTCGTTGAAAAATAAGAAAAGCAGATGACATTTGGGGAAAAGGAGAGACGTAGCAAATGGACGTAGCAAAGTAAAACAAGAAATTTAAAAGAACATTGGCCAGGATAAGCCAAGAAAAGAAACCATATGACAAAAAGACACCAGTAACATCAATAACACTCAAAAGAGTCGGCGTGTGGTTACTCACACTGGTGGCTTCTTGGGCTCCCCTTCAAACTTGGGTTTCCTCTGGCCTGCTCCTGACTGGGGCGTTCTAAACTCCAACAATTCCCTCTGCGGGACAAGCACTGTCATTATACCACGAGCACAGTCCACCACACACACACACACACACATTACCTTGCATCAGACCTGGGTGTCCTGTACATGTCAAATACTTGGAATACTATCCCAAGGGTTCCATTGTATCGGGCAAATTAAATCAAGTATTTGACAGTATTTGACCCAGGTCAGCAATATGGGCAATGGTATGGCTCATGAAAATTACACACAACAAAATACAGGGACAGTTAATTGGATAATCTTTAGAAATACCCATGACATACACTGCTCAAAAAAATAAAGGGAACACTTAAAACAACACAATGTAACTCCAAGTCAATCACACTTCTGTGAAATCAAACTGTCCACTTAGGAAGCAACACTGATTGACAATACATTTCACATGCTGTTGTGCAAATGGAATAGACAACAGGTGGAAATTATATGCAATTAGCAAGACACCCCCAATAAAGGACTGGTTTTGCAGGTGGTGACCACAGACCACTTCTTAGTTCCTATGCTTCCTGGCTGATGTTTTGGTCACTTTTGAATGCTGGCGGTGCTTTCACTCTAGTGGTAGCATGAGACGGAGTCTACAACCCACACAAGTGGCTCAGGTAGTGCAGCTCATCCAGGATGGCACATCAATGCGAGCTGTGGCAAGAAGGTTTGCTGTGTCTGTCAGCGTAGTGTCCAGAGCATGGAGGCGCTACCAGGAGACAGGCCAGTACATCAGGAGACGTGGAGGAGGCCGTAGGAGGGCAACAACCCAGCAGCAGGACTGCTACCTCCGCCTTTTGCAAGGAGGAGCAGGAGGAGCACTGCCAGAGCCCTGCAAAATGACCTCCAGCAGGCCACAAATGTGCATGTGTCTGCTCAAACGGTCAGAAACAGACTCCATGAAGGTGGTATGAGGGCCCGACGTCCACAGGTGGGGGTTGTGCTTACAGCCCAACACCGTGCAGGACGTTTGGCATTTGCCAGAGAACACCAAGATTGGCAAATTCGCCACTGGCGCCCTGTACTCTTCACAGATGAAAGCAGGTTCACACTGAGCACGTGACAGACGTGACAGAGTCTGGAGACGCCGTGGAGAACGTTCTGCTGCCTGCAACATCCTCCAGCATGACCGGTTTGGCGGTGGGTCAGTCATGGTGTGGGGTGGCATTTCTTTGGGGGGCCACACAGCCCTCCATGTGCTCGCCAGAGGTAGCCTGACTGCCATTAGGTACCGAGATGAGATCCTCAGACCCCTTGTGAGACCATATGCTGGTGTGGTTGGCCCTGGGTTCCTCCTAATGCAAGACAATGCTAGACCTCATGTGGCTGGAGTGTGTCAGCAGTTCCTGCAAGAGGAAGGCATTGATGCTATGGACTGGCCCGCCCGTTCCCCAGACCTGAATCCAATTGAGCACATCTGGGACATCATGTCTCGCTCCATCCACCAACGCCACGTTGCACCACAGACTGTCCAGGAGTTGGCGGATGCTTTAGTCCAGGTCTGGGAGGAGATCCCTCAGGAGACCATCCGCCACCTCATCAGGAGCATGCCCAGGCATTGTAGGGATGTCATACAGGCACGTGGAGGCCACACACACTACTGATTCTCATTTTGACTTGTTTTAAGGACATTACATCAATGTTGGATCAGCCTGTAGTGTGGTTTTCCACCTTAATTTTGAGGGTGACTCCAAATCCAGACCTCCATGGGTTGATAAATTTGATTTCCATTGATCATTTTTGCGTGATTTTGTTGTCAGCACATTCAACTATGTAAAGAAAAAAGTATTTAATAAGATTATTTCATTCATTCAGATCAAGGATGTGTTATTTTAGTGTTCCCTTTATTTTTTTGAGCAGCGTGACATCCAGCAAACAAACACCCATACACACAAATGTCAAGACTCATACAATGGCAGAAAGCAGAAGAAACCAACAACATCGAGAAAAACAGATCACTCAAACGCATCCAGACGGGACGGATCCCCCAACTCCACTCTCCGTCAGGGGTGGCTTGGAGGAGGGTGTGGGATGAGGAGGGATGGGGGAGAGAGAGGAAAGAGAAGGGGTGGGGAGGGCGACCAACATTTTGACATTTCTTCAGCACAACTGGAGAAGACAGCGGTCAAAACATCTGGTCACTGACCACGGGCCGGTACTGAACCTCGTAACGCTTCTGGTCCTCAGCCGCCTTCTTGATCCACGGGATCTTCTCCTTCTTCTCCATGTCCTTCCAAGCTGACTCCATGGCACTCTGGGCCTTCTTGCGGTCACTCTGTAACCAGAAGACACGGGACACAGAATTTGTATCCCTCCTTAGGAATGTATGGATTAAAGCACATTCCTAGATGCTGTACGGCAGGGGTTTTGATTTGACCCACCAAGGTATACAGTGTTTAATTATTTTTTTTTTAAGTTATGGTGTTGGGGAAAAATAACTACTTTAATCTAAATGTAAAACACTAAAACGAGATAGAAAACTATAAAAATGTATATGGCCCTACAGTACAGTCGTGGTCAAAGGTTTTGAGAATGACACAAATACTAATTTTCACAAAATCTGCTGCCATGAAAATGTACTTAATCCCCCAAAAAACATTTCCACTGCATTTCAGCCCTGCCACAAAAGGACCAGCGGCCATCATGTCAGTGATTCTCTCCTTAACACAGGTGAGAGTGTTGACGAGGACAAGGCTGGAGATCACTCTGTCATGCTGATTGAGTTAGAATAACAGACTGGAAGCTTTAAAAAAGGTGCTTGAAATCATTGTTCTTCCTCTGTTAACCATGGTTACCTGCAAGGAAACACGTGCCGTCATCATTGCTTTGCACAAAAAGGGCATCACAGGCAAGGATATTGCTGCTAGTAAGATTGCACCTAAATCAACCATTTATCGGCTCATCAAGAACTTCAAGGAGAGAGGTTCAATTGTTGTGAAGAAGGCGTCAGGGCGCCCCAAGAAAGTCCAGCAAGTGCCAGGACCGTCTCCTAAAGTTGATTCAGCTGCGGGATCGGGGCACCACCAGTGCAGAGCTTGCTCAGGAATGGCAGCAGGCAGGTGTGAGTGCATCTGCACGCACAGTGAGGCGAAGACTTTTGTAGGATGGCCTGGTGTCAAGAAGGGCAGCAAAGAAGCCACTTCTCTCCAGGAAAAACATCAGAGACATACTGATATTCTGCAAAAGGTACAGGGATTGGACTGCTGAGGACTGGGGTAAAATCATTTTCTCTGATGAATCCCCGTTCCGATTGTTTGGGTCATCCGGAAAACACCTTGTCCTGTTGTGTCGTCTGCAAACTTGATGATTGAGTTACCATCAGTCCTGTGTCATGCCAACAGTAAAGCATCCTGAGACCATTGATGTGTGGGGTTGCTTCTCAGCCAAAGGAGTGGGCTCACTCACAATTTTGCCTAAGAACACAGCCATGAACAAAGAATGGTACCAACACATCCTCCGAGAGCAACATCTCCCAACCATCCAAGAATAGTTTGGTGACGAACAATGCCTTTTCCAGCATGATGGAGCACCTTGACAAAAGGCAAAAGTAATAACTAAGTGGCTCGGGGAACAAAACATCGACATTTTGGGTCCATGGCCAGGAAACTCCCCAGACCTTAATCCCATTGAGAACTTGTGGTCGATCCTCAAGAGGCAGGTGGACAAACAAAAACCCACAAATTCGGACAAACTCCAAGCATTGATTATGCAAGAATGAGCTGCCATCAGTCAGGATGTGGCCCAGAAGTTAATTGACAGCATGCCAGGGCGGATTGCAGAGGTTTTGAAAAAGAAGGGTCAACACTGCAAATATTGAGTCTTTGCATAAACTTAATGTAATTGTCAATAAAAGCCTTTGACACTTATGGAATGCTTGTAATTATACTTCAGTATACCATAGTAACATCTGACAAAAATATCTCATAACACTGAAGCAGCGAACTTTGTGAAGACCAATACTTGTGTTACACGACTGTATATTCATAAATAAATATAAATCTAATGGCTGTTTTGCGGACATAAAATGTTACTCTTTCTCACCCTGTACTTGGCCAGGTAGTCTCCTATGACGCTCTGTTGCCACATCTCCTCGGCAGTCTTAGGCGTCTCGGGGAGTTTGGTCCTCTTCTTGCCGTCGCGCTTCTCTTTCGCCGTCAGGCCGGCGTGCACCCAGTGCTCCAGCTCAGCTTCACGACAGCGCTCCTGAAGGAATCCGACACAGAGACAAACCTGGCGTCAATGCAGGTGACATATACATTGTGTACCTAGTATACCTTTCAATCAGAGGAGGCTGGAGGGAGGAGCTATAGGAGGACTTGCTCATTGTAATGGAATAAATGGAACGATATCAAACACGTCAAACGTATGGAAACCACGTTTGGGACTGTTCCATTTTTCCATTACAATAAACACGTCCTCCTATAGCTCCTCCCACCAGCCTCCACTGCTTTAAAATGTAAACAATCCACCTTCACTGTATCTTAACAGCTCAAACATCCCCATGACCCAACATATGAAATACGTTAGTAAACCTTCCTTGTGACTGACCAGGTGGAAAAAAACGTTCACCGTAACTTAGCAAGATATAGCACACCTGCACTGTAACTTAACAGAAAGACATAGCCCAACTTTCTCAGTGGTTGATAGGTGGTGACATACAGTACCAGTCAAAAGTTTGGACACACCTTTCATTCCAGGGTTATGTCTTTATTTTTACATTGTAGACTAATAGTGAAGACATCAAAACTATGAAATAACACATACGGAATCATGTAGTAACCAAAAAATGGTTAAACAAATCAAAATATATTTTATATTTGATATTCTTCAAAGTAGCCACCCTTTGCCTTGACAGCTTTGCACACTATTGCCATTCTCTCAACCAGCTTCATGAGGTAGTCACATGGAAAGCATTTCAATTAACAGGTGTGCCTTCTTAAAAGTTAATTTGTGGAGTTTATTTCCTTCTTAATGCGTTTGAGCCAATCAGTTTTGTTGTGACAAGGTAGGGGTGGTATACAGAAGATAGCCCTATTTGGTAAAAGACCAAGTCCATATTATGGCAAGAACAGCTCAAATAATCAAAGAGAAACAACAGCATCATTACTTTAAGACATGAAGGTCAGTCAATCCGGAAAATGTGAAGAACTTTGAAAGTTTATTCAAGTGCAGTCGCAAAAACCATCAAGCGCTATGATGAAACTGGCTCTCATGAGGACCGCCACAGGAAAGGAAGACCCAGAGTTACCTCTGCTGCAGAGGATAAGTTCATTAGAGTTACCAGCCTCAGAAATTGCAGCCCAAATAAGTGCTTCACAGAGTTCAAGTAACAGACATCTCAACATCAACTGTTCAGAGGAGACTGCGTGAATCAGGCCTTCTTGGTCGAATTGTTGCAAAGAAACCACTACTGAAGGACACCAATAATAAGAAGAGACTTGCTTGGGCCAAGAAACACGAGCAATGGACATTAGACCGGTGGAAATCTGTCCATTGGTCTGGAGTCCAAATTGGAGATTTTTGGTTCCAACCGCTGTGTCTTTGTGAGACGCAGTGTAGGTGAACGGATGGTCTCCGCATGTGTAGTTCCCACCGTGAAGCATGGAGGAGGAGGTGTGATGGTGTGGGGGTGCTTTGCTGGTGACACTGTCTGTGATTTATTTAGAATTCAAGGCACACTTAACCAGCATGGCTACCACAGCATTCTGCAGCGATACGCCAGCCAATCTGGTTTGGGCTTAGTGGGACAATCATTCGTTTTTCAACAAGGCAAAGGGTGGCTACTTTGAAGAATCTAAAATATATTTTGATTTGTTAAACACCTTTCTGGGTTACAACATGATTCCATATGTGTTATTTCATAGTTTTGATGTCTTCACTATTATTCTACAATGTAGAAAATAGTAAAAAAAATAAAGAAAAACCCTTGAATGAGTAAGTGTGTCCAAACTTTTGACTGGTACTGTACCGGTTGTAGTTTTGTGAGACCCACCTTGGCAGAGGTGGACTTGGCTCTATGCGGGCTGGCAGCAGCCCCCATGCCAAGCCGGGAGCCCCCCAGCTTCTCCTCCGTCATCACGCGGTCCCTCTCCTCCTCCGGGAGACTCTGGGAAAACAGAACCGACATGGAGGCTGTCATAGACTTCCACTTCTAAAACTCAGGTCAGCTAAGAATGTGTAGTGTGATGTACAGTACTATAGATATGGTTATATTCAGTTCTACTTACCTCTAGAAACCTCTGTAGGTCAATTTCATACTGCTTTTTTTTCTGTACCCAGACACACCAGCAGCGGGGAGAAAGAAAGAGCATTGCTCAGATTTGTGAATGACAATACATAAACTTTGTCATCATGACAGAAACCCTTTCAAACCTTCACAACACATCTTCGGCTATAAACAGGTATTTCTCTATATTTTCTGCAATGTTTCCCAGAAGCAGCATGACATGGCAGCAAAAAACTAACAATTGAAACCAATAGAGGCCAAAATATTTGAAGCAGCTATTAAGGAGGCAGACCTGGACCTGTTTACGAAATGAAAAAGAAAATACTGGTGTTCATTGCATTTCCTCATGAACAGAGCTGAACAAGACTGACCTGCTCGCAGCGTTTCTGAAACATGTCCTTCTCCTTCTGCGTCATTATCTTCCACTGCTTACTGCACAGCACCATACGCTCCGTACTGGGAACATCCTTCATGTTCACCATCAGCTCGGCACAGTATAGGGAGTAACCATTCCTGAAGACCAAAAACCATTTGTTCAGCCCCAGAGAATTAGACTACACCACAGGTCTTTAAACTCCACAGAAACCAAGAGCTACTGTTTGCATATAAAGCAGTGCTTCCTAAATTCTGTCCTCGGGACCCCAAGTGGTGCACGTTTTGGTTTTTGCTGTAGCATTACACAGCTGATTCAAATAATCAAAGCTTGATGATTAGTTGGTTATTAAAATTAGCTGTGTAGTGCTAGGGCAAAAACAAAATTGTGCACCCAGGCGGGGCCCCTAGACAGAGTTTGGGAAACACTGAATAAAGGATCTCCTATCCAAAAACTCATGAGGGCCTAAATCCCTTTTGGTCTTTTCAGAACTGCCAAGAGACCGCCGAAGTCTGGTAGTGGTAGCGCTGGTGATACTGGACGGGGGTTCGAGCGCCACCTCAGTCGCTTTTCTGTGCCCCTATACATTCTTCTACCCCCTCTCCACTTGCCCACTATTCTTTCATTAAAATAATGTGACTCCGATCAAGCAACTTACGGCGGTGGTTTGGTTGGCCTGCCGTCAAACTTGTCCTTGAGCTGCCGCTCAGCTTTGGTGAGGACGGACTTGACGTGCTCTTCAGCATCTGGATGGGCCTCTTGGTAGACTCTCATACTACCCTGTAGTGATAACCATAGATTCAATCAAACTTTTTGGGTGACAATGAGAAATGATGGACAATTTCTCCTCATCAAGACTTGTCATCGACTGTGACTTGTGCTCTACTTCCGAAAAGGGGATGAAATACTCTTTATTTAGAATGTGCATGTTTCTCTCTAGGCAGTGTATATCACACATGATGAAGAGGCAAATGTGCTGGTTTCCTCTACCAGGAAAAGGTAGTAAAGGATTACCAAGTTGTGTCCTGACAAGGTGCTATACTTTTGAATATTTACTCTTGACCCTTCACCCCTAAACTCTTACCGCATAGTCTTTTTGCAGCTCCAGGGCCTTGCTGATCCATTTGAGTCTCTTCTTGTCTGAGAGCTGGGACCACTGTCTCCTCAGAGCCTCCTTCAGCTCCTTCTGGCTCACCTGGTAACCCCAGAGAAAGGAAAGGCATTCATCATTCACCACAAAGGATTCCAACAGGGACATTTTCTTTTGAGGGTGAATTCATGGAAGCACAACACTCAACAGTTCCATTCAGTGAAATCCCAGACTTAGCTGGGCAGGGTCCTCTGCAAACACTCACATCGGGGTGGAGCTTCATGTAGGTCTTCTTCTCATGGTTGTACCACAGCTGCTGGGGCGTCTTGGGCTTCTCAGGAAGGTCCGACTTCTTTCTCTCCTCTATCAACTCCGGGTGGTCCTCTCTGGCCGTGAACAAGAGCAAAGACATTAAGGCAGATGTATATGGGTGGTATACCCTTTCAACAAACAGATAGAGGAGTGATTACTTGGGTTTTTTCAAGGGAAATTAGTCAGCTTTGGAATGTGTTGTTTATTATTCAGCAGCGGAAGTTAATTTGGCCACTGAACACTAAGTAACTTGTTAACCGGCTTCAACAAGACAGAAAATGCCACTCACTTGAATCGGGCCATATTCTTCTCAAAGGACTCCTTCTCCCGCTGAAACTCTGTGATGTACTTTTGCTGTGGGGAACAGAGAATAACCCTCCGTCAATTAGTTATTAACTGAAAAAATAACAGAGATACTACAATTGAAGAAGTGTAGCTTCTATTCACAAACCACTCTCTGTTTTCTATACAGTGATGTCATGTCTAGATGTGAGATCTGCTTTGAATTAAATAAAGATTATCCCAAAGGCATAATGAAAGAGCATGGTAGAGTTGACCATCACTTTTTTCTTGTCTGGGAGCTCCTTGTATTTCTTGGACAGAATCTTGGTGAGGTCAAGGTTGCTCATCTCCGGGTGGATCTTGGCATACTTAGCTCGCTTCTCCATAAAGAACTGGAAATACGGTGTAAGGGGTTTCTTTGGGAAGTCTGGGTGTGTCTAATAGGGTGGAAAACAGAATAATTGTCAATCATATGGTAGAAGGCGTGAGATTGGCAACAGTATTGTGAATGATCAAGTCTTCTCCTCCAAATAACCCTAGTATTTCGTGGAATTTCATGAGTCCAATTTAACACCTGATTCCTTACCTTCAATTTCTTCCCTTTGTAAGGGTTCTTCACAAACTCAGTGACGTCAACTATGAGCTCTGTCATAGTCCTAAACTTACGCACCTGAAGACAGTGTCAAATAGATAAAAAACTGAAATTCTGTTTCAAACATTTTCATAGTGCCATTTTGCCGGTAGAAAGAGACTACAGACATATTTTTCTCCAATTTCTGTGACACTCTTCCCTCCACAGATTCAAAACAGAAACTAGAGTTTTCTGCTATTGTGATTGGCTGAAATTGTGATTGGCTAACCTCAGTAGACACCTTCGCCCACTTCTGTTTGCACATGTCGCCGGTGAAGTCTCCGAAGCAGACCTTCTGCCAGTCAAAGTGGGACTCGGTGGTCTTGTATTTCATGGCGTCACCATCAGGCAACAGGCTCCGAATCCTCTCCAAAAGTGTGAGGCAGTCCTCCTTACTCCATGCATCCACAACTGGAACATAGACAAACACACAACCACATCTGTCAAGCAACATCAAAGAGCAGGTGTTTCCTTTGTTTTGACTGGCCCCTTTAGTAGACACAATAAACCTCAAGCTGACCCTGGAACAGATAAACTGAGAGACTGATATCTAAGTAAATGTCAAACACACATTGATCTTTCAAAAGTCAACCAGAATTCAACACAATATTACAATATAAAAATATACTCCTACATGTAATTACATAAGCATGAAGGAAGGATACACAAAATTACAAAACTATTATTAGAATAAATAATATATATTGTGGTTGATGAATGGTGGTTTTGATTATTTGGCCTACCTGGCTCGGTTTTTATCTGGACGGTCTGGGAGGCAGAGGGCACACTGCTGCTGCTGTTCATGGTGCAGCGTCTGTGGGCAGCTCAACTGACCCGATTCCTAGAGATTCTGGAACCACAAAAGCATTCAATATTTAGGGTCCTGCTTGCTACAACTTCAAAAGAACTCCCATTATAGACAAATTAACTATGGCTAAATGTGGACATATGCATGGAGAGAGCTCTTTGAGCTAAACCTGTACGTAAAAACTCACCAATTCCAATATGTAAAGATATTGATCTACACAATAACATTTCTCAAATTCAAGAACTGACTTTTGACGTTCCGTCCACGGGTTCTATACATTATCATATGGTTACGTCCTGTCCACGGGTTCTATACATTATCCTATGGTTACGTCCAGGACTAAATTCGTTCAAAAACATTGATATGGCTTATCCAACGGCTGTGGTAGGAACGAAGCAGGGATTTTACACAAACGTGTCTGTGGGAGGAGAGGCAACTCAAGGACCATTCCTGCAAATAGTGGTAATCATTGATCTAAATATATATATATTAGATCAATGATGACCAATGATCATAGGCTATAGAAATAATCACTGATCTGACATGACTTGGTTGGTAGCCTAGCATAAAATCTATTTTCACACATCTATCAGTGATGTCTTAAAGGATGGGAGGAATGAAGGATGTATAGGTTATCCCAAAACAGGGGCCTCATCTCCATTACAGGCTATGCATTTGTCTCAGCTATACCGCTAACTTAGGCTACTTGTTCATCGTATAGAGGCTAGTGTCTACTCTAGACCTGTAATAGGTTATAATAATGGACCGTAAAATTGCTCAGACAGGGCTTTACTATGCAAGCTGCACATCACATGGGTTCGGGGGAAGCCCATGAGCCAGGGACGCACAATCCTTTGACGCAATCCGTTCATTAGGCTACATTCAGAAGATAATAAGCTTAGGCCTATTAGTGACAGTCAGTGACAGTACCAGTATAGCATTGCTTTGGGGATATCTGGTGTGTAATCTCCCCCTGAACTGCAGTGGTAGGGTACACATGAACCACATACTTAGAAATCACTCCGTTTCCCCAGCCACACCAATATTTCAACATTCATTTTCAAAGGAATAAAGGTAAATTAGAAAATCTCAATTTTACAGTGTAGAAAAGTTATCAATTAAAATTGTAAACAGTTTTATATTATTCAATTTAAACAAGTGGATCAGAAAATAGAGAAATTGAAACTAACATATTATTCAATGTGAATGAGTGTATTAGATCATTAGACTAATATTAGACCCTCTGCCCAGGTTCATCCTACTATCTATCCACCCTTTATCATATGACAGAACAACATTGCATAGCCTACTTCAGGGCAGTGGCACACAATATGATAACTGAGAGAACCGAAACGATCAATTTATTGTTTCATCGTGTTGTTTTTCAAGGGCAGCCGATTTATTATTTATCGTAGATATGAAAATAAGGTCCTTATGTTTCCAAAACTGTACGGCAAGCGATGTGTGTTAATGTTCAGACCGAGCGTCAGGGCTCTTAAACATAACTCCCCGTACAGAAGACACCTAGGTCCAATGACAATTCGTAATGGAACGGTCATGATCAAGGGCTAGGGGACGATTAGTTCCGCGGCCATACTGGCCTTTTTCTGCTTCTTTTCATCAGGCCCCTGACCCAAAGCCTACCTAACAGCGACTGGGTTGGTCGATCTGGGTTGGGTATATAGGCTAGCCTTGGTAGATAGCCTAGGCGGGAGGGAGCGTTCTAGAGAAGGGAATAGAATGCTGGAACAGCTTGAACATTCCGTGGCGGCGGGCTGAATCGAACTGCCAGAAAGTGCGCGACTACCCCCGCCCGCTTCGCCCAAGCGGTGGCGCAGCTGTGAACCCGACGGAGGCGCCGCTTTCTCGGTGTATAGGCTACAGTGTTATGGCCCGCTCACAAGGTCAAACTTCGGAACACACAACAGATCCTGCAAATTTATTCGAGAACATAGGCCTACATTGCACAAAAAAACGTGTTACATGCATGCATCTGCACATCTACCAATAAATCCTGAGAATATATTTAACAGACAAACTATGAAAACATAAAATGCTCATCATAGACTGCATTCACATATTTCGAGGGGCCGTGTTATTGCTAATGTAATGTATTTCTATTATTGAGTCAAGACTACTCATAGCCTTCTAAATTTGTCTTGGGAACACTGACCGTTTTCTGCTTGTTACCCCAGTAATGGCGCCCTTATTCCGGCAGGAGTCAAAACGCAGCTTCCGCTGGCACGAAAAGCCTTCTTAACAAACACATTTTTGGAAAATATTATATTATACATGACTAAGATTTACAACAAAAAAACGCTCAGTAGACTTAATTTCTTATTAGCAGACTGGATGTGTAGGACACGTACATTTTGTAGTACAATTCGTTATTTTGTGAAAAGTAGTTTTAATGGTATAATTTGGAGAAGATTGCACAGTTAAACTGTCAATGTGGTTTTATAAACTACCAAAAGCAGTAAGTGCAAATTTCAGAAACGCTTATGAAGTGAGGAGTTGCTGAAAAACAGATACGCGAGCGAGCGCATCTGCTTGCTCTTGCCCCGAAGCTCTCACTGCAGAGCCGCCATGAGTGTTACAAAGACTGGGGGAGACACGACTTGAAAATCGCTTATAACGTCGTCAAAACACAACTTTTCACTCACCTTTCGTGACAGTTAGAAACCAGCGTTGTTACTACAAATCAAGGTATTCGTGTTAATTATTTTAGGGCTGTTTAAGTGTCTATTTTTCAGCCGTAAACCCCAGGGAGTCAGGTTGAAACGGATCCGACAAAATAAGCGTCTGTTTCGGTATGAAACTCCGCCCAGCGCCGCAGGGGGAGGAACTCCAAGGGAAAACATGCGAGAAAAAGGAGTCAAAGACGGAGGCTGAAACTAAAGACATATGGCAGTATTTCATGAGAAATAGCTTGATTGTGGTGCTGTAATATCTTTAGTGAATAACGCATTTAGTTTACACATTTTATCAATTTAAAATAATTTCGATATTTTTTGACAATTCATGACTGTCTTATTCTTATAGTGATTATCAATAGTGTCTTCTTATTTAAAATACTTAATTCTAGCTAGACATTTAGCCGCAACCCCCTTCATTTTAGCCAGAGTCCATTAAGTGCTAAACCCATTAGCCTATCCTCGTAATAACACTGGGCCTCAGAACAAGCTACAGTGGGACATGGGAGATCCAGGGATGGAAAGTTTCATCCAAGGCTCGGAATCGAAAGGCATGGGAAAATAAATGAAATGTTCACGGATAATATCCAAGGTCTTGTTTGCTAATGCCTACCGCTATTCTGAAGTGACAACTCTAGACCACGGTCATGTAGGCTACCAACACCAATAATGTGCAACTGCAGCCAGCAATTCAGGGCGTTCCTGCATGTGATTGAGCTTTCCATTGTTTCCTTTATGAACAACCCTCACCCTTGAGCATCCCATTGGTTCCTTCATGAATGCCCCCCACATCGAGTATCCCATTGGTTCCTGCATGAACGCCCCCCCTCGAGCACCATGTCTTCACTCTTGTATGTGGGTCCTTCGCTCCCACCTGCCCTCGACAGGGTCGAAGGACACTACCGGTCACCCCCGCCTCATATTAACACAGCAGGCGGGAGGCTGCGACAGCTAGCACACGACGTTGCCTTCCGCCTTCCAGAGAAAACCGTGCCCGACAGGCGGGCCGAAGGACACTATCTACCGGTCATCACCGCCTCCCACTAGCACAGCAACTTGATAGTTTGATAGTTAGTGACACTGTGTACTAGCTAGCTTGCTAGTTAGCACACGGTTTCGCCCCCGCCTGCTGTGTACCGGAGTCCTCCTTAGGACTAGCTGGCTAAGCTAGCACACGGTTTCGCCCCCGCCTGCTGTGTACCGGAGTCCTCCTTAGGACTAGCTGGCTAAGCTAGCACACAGTGTCCTTCACTCCCGCCTCCCGAACGCCTGCCCTCGCCGTTGTTAACAGAACTGCGAGAAAACAGTGCCCGACCAGCGGGGGCAAAGGACACTGTCTACCGGTCGCCCCGCCTCCCACTAGCACCACAGTAGGGAGGCTGGGGCGACACCGTGTACTACCTAGCTTGATAGTTAGCGAAACTGTGTGCTAGCTAGCTTGTTAGTTGACCAGCTAGCACACAGTGTCGCCCCTGCCTCCCGCCTGCTGTGTACCGGTGTCCTCCTTAGGACTAGCTGACAAAGCTAGCACACAGTTTCCTTTGCTCCCATCTGCCCTCGCCGTCAGTCACAGAACTGCGGGAAAACAGTTCCCGACAGGCAGGAGCAAAATACACTGTCTACCAGTGTACAGCTAGCTAGCTACCATTGTTGCCCCCACCCCTTCTTCTGTGGGATTTATTGGCCGCAGCCAATGTCATTGTGCATTAATGCCACCTAATGTACTGGAGAGCCCGCGCCTCCCGCCTGTCCTAATTTAAAAACGGACCAATAGAAGTATGCAGATGCAGGAATGCCCACTTGCAGGAACGCACCGATTGCTGGCCCAGTTGCACCCTCCTCACCAACACAGCCGTCACGCACACACTGCCGTGGGATTAATTGAAACTGGCCGAATAGATGGGGAAAGGAGGAGACTTTCACTGGAATCCCACCTCATCTAGTTGAGACTGGAATGTAATAATAACCGTAGGCCTGTGGTATTTCAGGCAATGCAATTAAAGGTTATGAACCTATTTCTAGAGAAGTCAAACGTTCAGCCTGCTGCACAGACCCTATGGACGCTCTAGTCTAGAGCGCCTGGTTAAATTGTGCTTGTGCTTAGGAGCATTTTTTACATCTCTAAATGGTTAAACTAGTGAGAAATGTGTGATTTTTGACTTTCCATGGTGTGGACAGTATGTGTTACGACAGTACACAAGCTGACGGTTTGACCACATCGAATTGGGGGGGAATTACACATCCTTTTCAGATTGGTGATGTTAGTATAAAAGTTCATAGTCAACACAATGACACAAGATCAATTGCTTAAAACAGATCCATGTCTTTGGTTTTGTACTGTTGATTTTGTCATATGCGCTGGCGTTCGCAGGACTTGGAACGCAGGTATAATTTTATTTCTCAAATGGGCCGGAAAATTTGGGACAATCTCTATAAAAGTCGCTGGTCAGTGGCCATACACCTATACACGGAAATATCAGGCAACTGTTGTCACTGTTGATATCTTATGAAGGGTCGTAATTCGTTGAAGTTAACTAACAGAAAAGTATTCCCTTTTCCGTGATGGCAGCCTCCCGAAATCAACATCCGCCATTCCAAAATATAGGTAGAAGCCTTCTACAAATTCTCATCTAACCAACCATGTATAGGTTATTCCAAGTTGAATAGTGTACATTTAAACAGCGCTACACCCCAAACGTTCGCCCCCGTTCTATTGATTTCAAAAGAGGCGCCTTGATCCATAGGGGGCACAAGGACACGTGCCCCCACAGATTTGTCTGTTCCAAAAATGTTTTATAATAATAATATTTTGTTGTTGTTGTTGTTTCTCTGTAATACTACTAGCCACCTAGCAATTGTATGAAGTTGGCTTTAGCTACTCCAGATAGGTTCCCAATTTCCCAACCTCATAACTAGCTACCAAGAAGCCATTTCAGACTATCAATCAAGTTAGAGTAGATAGCTTGTCTAACTATCTTAGCTGGCATACCTGCTGGCAATGTTATCAGGCTTTAGAAAAGCAAGCAATTACTAGATGTACTCAATAAGACTCACAGTCCTTTCAATATTTTACCCAGATTTTAGCAGAGAAGCATATTTAGTTTCTTTAAAAAATAACCATCAGTCAGGAGGATACAGGCAGCTCAAGATGTATGCTAAGATATGCCCCCCCCCAAAAAAGTGTGTTTCAAAAATCTCCAACTTCTGGACTGAGGAAATAGTCCCCCTCCGGACCCCTAAGCCATCCTCACGCACTTTGTGCCCCCTCACATTTTTGGCCTGCATGACGCCCCTGGATTTCAGCATGATATCAATGGAAGTGATGAACAAAAAAAAGTGTTGCATTACACTTACAGTACCAGTCAAAAGTCTGGACACACCTACTCATTCAAGGGTTTTTCTTTATTTTTACTATTTTCTACATTGTAGAATAATCGTGAATACATCAAAACTATGAAATAACACATATGGAATCATGTAGTAACCCAAAAAGTGTTAAACAAATCAAAATATATTTTATATTTGAGATTCTTCAAAGTAGCCACCCTTTGCCTTGATGACAGCTTTGCACAGTCTTGGCATTCTCTCAACCAGCTTCATGAGGTAGTCACCTGGAATGCATTTCAATTAACTGGTGTGCCTTGTTAAAAGTTAATTTGTGGAAATGTTTTCCTTCTTAATGCGTTTGTGCCAATCAGTTGTGTTGTGACAAGGTATGGGTGGTATTCAGAAGATAGCCCTATTTGGTAAAATTTAGTGGTGTGGATCAGAAAACTAGTCTATATCTGGTGTGATCACCATTTGCCTCACACATCTCCTTCGCATAGAGTTGATCAGGCTGTTGATTGTGGCCTGTGGAATGTTGTCCCACTTCTCTTCAATGGCTGTGTGAAGTTGCTGGATATTGGCGGGAACTGGAACATGCTGTCGTACACGTCCATCCAGAGCATCCCAAACATGCTAAGTGGGTGACATGTCTGGTGAGTATGCAGGCCATGGAAGAGCTGGAACATTTCCAGCTTCCAGGAATTGTGTGCAGATCCTTGCGACATGGGGCCGTGCATTATCATGCTGAAATATAAGGTGACGGCGGCAGATGAATGGCACAACAATGGGCCTTAGGATCTCGTCACAGAATCTCTGCATTCAAATTGCCATCGATAAAATGGAATTGTGTTCGTTGTCCGTAGCTTATGCCTGCCCATACCATAACCCCACCGCCACCATGGGACACTCTGTTCACAATGTAGACATCAGCAAACCGCTCGCCCACACAACTCCATACACGCTGTCCACCATCTAACCGGTACAGTTGAAACCGGGTTTCAGCCGTGAAGAGCACACTTCTCCAGCGTGCCAGTGGCCATCGAAGTCGGTTACTGAACTACAGTCAGGTCAAGACCCTGGTGAGGACGACGAGCACACAGATGAGCTTCCTTGAGACGGTTTCTGACGGTGTGTGCAGAACTTCTTCAGTTGTGCAAACCCACAGTTTCTTTAGCTGTCCGGGTGGCTGGTCTCAGATGATCCCGCAGGTGAAGAAGCCGGGTGTGGAGGTCCTGGGCTGGCGGGGTTACACGTGGTCTGCGGTTGTGAGGCCGGTTGAACGTACTACCAAATTCTCTAAAACGACGTTGGACGTGGAGATGGTAGAGAAATTAACATTAAATTATCTGGCAACAGTTCTGGTAGACATTCCTGTAGTCAGCATGCCAATTGCACACTCCCTCAAAACTTGAGACTTCTGTGGCATTGTGTTGTGTGAAAAAAACGGCATATTTTAGAGTGGCCTTTTACTGTCCCCAGCACAAGGTGCACCTGTGTAATGATCATGCTGTTTAATCAGTTTCTTGATATGCCACACCTGTCAGGTGGATGGATTATCTTGGCAAAGGAGAAATGCTCACCAACAGGGATGTAAACAAATTTGTGCACACAATTTGAGAGAAATAAGCTTTTTGTGCATATGGACAATTTCTGGGATCTTTTATTTCAGCTCATGAAACATTAGACCAACACTTTACATGTTCCATTTATATTTTTGTTCAGTATAGCTATCTGTCTACTACAAATTGTCCTCTAACCAGTGATGTACACATTATTTCCAGATTCCGTGTGGTTTTTGAGCTGTGGTAGTTTCAATCGATGAGTGATTTATTGCCACTTGACAATGTGTGTGCAGTTTTTAAGGTGCATGTTTTAAAAAATACAAGTTATACGATTATGTATAGATAGTACATGTTATGTTTATGTTTTCAATTATCACAAACTGTTTCTGCATATTGGTTATTGATTTGGACACTTTAAAACTGTGTTTTGACATTGGGCTATATATCAATATGTCTTGTCAACAGGAAGCAGCGACAGCATCATTTTCTATTTAAGTTTTAGGAATATACCAGACATCACCATGCCTACGTATTCCGTTTATCGTCATCAAGTTTAATTTGCCACGGACTCATGATACTTTTATTTCAAACTTTGACAGCAGTGTGTGATACACGTTTTTTTTGGCTGTTTAGGTGATAGATCATACAATATGATGATGACAAGAAGAAATTGTACCATTCATCATTTATATGGCCTATCCTTAATATGAATGTCTACTTTAAATTAATCATGTTTCGGTATCCCTCCCTTAACAACTTTACACATATCTTTGTACAGGGACAGACACATCCTTGCAAATAGAAAAGAAAACACAACTTTCAGTTTAATTTAATCATTAATAGACATTTACTTGTACATATATAAAAATAACATTTAAAATCAGTCAAAGCCCTAATTCTACAAACTTGACATGGATAAGAGCAAGGCAGATTGTCTATTTTAACATCTTGCAATGTAGCTAAAGCCAAAGCACTTGAACCATGATTGATTCCTAAGAAAATATATGGATATATTTGTATGTAATATATTATATTTCTTCTTTATTTCTCACTCATGCTATAATATTTGCAGTTAAAATACAATGTGAGAGAACAAGATATCAAAAATATTTTAGCATATTTCTGGATGCTAGCTTTGCAACATTGCTTTTGGATAATTGTGTGGAAAGATGATATGACCTGGTGAACTTGACAAAGCACACACATTGAAAACTGTGACAACAGCAAGCAAATCTGCAAAGGAGGCAATTTTTTGGACCACATGATGACAACAAACACATACATGGCAGCCAGTGCTCTTCCTTTGCAGTGATTCAATGAGACACTGTTATCCTACTACACACTTTTGAAATACTTGCAAACAACTGTAATTTTTTCAGTGCACCGGCATGATGTTTCACTTTAATGTGGTAGAAAGTAAACATAATCTCAATAACTTGTATTATAACTGCGTTTGTCACAACACATTCAGTGACATTTTAAGATGGAAGCAGCTGTTATTTATGGACTATCCTCATTGGCTTTATAGACATGATTAGCTACTGAGGCCCAAATGATGTGCATACTTAAAAATGCTTAAAATTGTATTGAATAGAATGTCTCCTACTTTTGGTTAATGTACATTAAAGCCGACATTCTGTACATACTGTTGTTCAGACAGTTAAACCAAGACTATACACCTAGGAGGGCACAACAGTGAAAATTAAGTAGGTAATGGGACCAAACATCTTTAACATGTTTGGAGAAGCACAGTGGTGAGATCTAAGCAGCAAGTGATTGGTCGAAAGCGACTTACAGTATCTGCTCTTCAAAAAATATAATGTTTTTTGTCAGCCATACAGGATTTTTTTTTGTTGTTGACACATTTACTTTCTTAGGCACAGATTGCCAAATGAATTAATGAAGGCTTCTCGTGTGTACCATCCCAAATATACACCAGGGGGTACTGTAGTGCTACTTTATTTATTGGGCTGTTTTCATTCAATTGCAAATAATGAATCAATTTGAATAAGGGCTGTTTTTAAACAACAGTGGCTGCGTGTCCAAATTCTCTGGATGCCTCTTACTGATAGCTAAACAACCAAACCTTCTGCGCATGTGCAGGATTCTCTACTTTACGAACAAGCCCATTGTCAAATCTGGTTAACGCCTACACGGTAACCCAGAGGTGTATCCATATACTGTATAAAACATTCTGCCCTCTCATTGGCTAGAATGTTCCCGCCTGTTCCCGCCTCCTTCCTTCTGCCTGCCTTCGGCCTTTGCAGACATTTATTCTGTTGTTAGAGAGGAGACTCCTGTATCTTGTCAGTATGTCACCTTTGTTAGCTCTGGGGAAGAGGCGTCCACGGGGGCGGGATAGGGGCAGAACGAGGCGGTTCGATTTGGTCGTGAAGCCTTTAAACAACAATATAACTGATGTAGGCACCCCTATTCTTAATTTATCATACCCCTGTAAACACACCCCTAACACCTGAACAGACCCTGTCTGTCCTCTAGAACAAAAACACTTTCGATTCAATCACTGTACACGTTTCTAACACAAACTTACTGAGACGCAACCAGAACTCTTTGGTGGGCTTGTTTAAACTGGTACCGCCCGTATGTCATCATAACCAGCTTGCATAGCCACATATCATATGTGATAACGCCACCACAGAAACAAACAGAAGACACCGTAAACAATACATTATTTATATCTGCTTTCTGCAGAAGTCTTGAATAGGTGCTGGATATAGGCTACTCAGGGGTAATACACTACAATGGCAAATGGCAGCACACTTACAGCTAACACACTATCCCTCACCTGCTTACAAAACAAATGTTTCTGTATGGATGGTTTCTCTGCCATTCCAATTGCCTTTGGTCCAGTACAATATGTCTAATTTGTACTGTACCTCAAATTGCTTAAATACAAGATTGGCAAATAGCTTGCGACTGTGATACCATTATAACCTTATTACACATAAGGTTATAATGGTATCACAGTCACATGCTATTTGCCAAAAGACAGTTGGACAGGCCCCACAAACACACACTGCTAATGATTGGTTGATTGTTCTATAATGCGAAGCTCTTCCACTCTTGTATTTAAGCAATTTGAGGTACAGTACAAGTTAACCATATTGTACTGGACTAAAGGCAATTGGAATGGGCACAGAAACCTTCCTCTTTGAAAACAACGTTTAACTGAATGTGGCCTAGTGGCCCTCTTGATGGGGGAGCATTAGATGAATCGAATTTTTGTTGCTTTTACTTTGCTTACCACTTTTGTCAGTGTGCAATATAGTAAGTGCTTCTCAGTGAAGCTACAAAATGAATTAAATGAATTTGCCATACTGGTGGGCCATGTAAAATCATGTGGAATTGAGAACCATGTAGTGTACATTCTACCCACTCTTGAATGCAAAATGTACCATAGTAGTAATAAATATGTAACATTCTAAAGACTATTGCAATGATACGCCTAACCGTGGGCACTAGACTGAATGGTAAATGTTTGTCTATGACTATGTTGTATACATTTATCAGTAATAAAGTGCTTCTTCTTAGGTCATGACCTCAGTGAAGGTGGTTCCTGCCCAATTCCAATGCACACTTTGAGGAGAAGGTGGAGACTTGAAATTGGGCTCTAGTCTTTGACACATAGCAATTCAAACTCCCACCTGACATTAAAACACACCCCAAAGATACCTAAAAACACGATTCGACATTGTAACTCAAATAATGTCGAAGGATAAATCCACCTTGCAGAAAGCAAAATAGTGAAAATAGACAAAAAACATGATTTGGAAGTTGGAACCCTAAAAAGCTTTCAAAATAATAAAATAAAAAATGAGTAAAACCTTTCAAACTATCAGTGGTGCGTTATAAAATATCAGGTGAACAAACAAAGGATTTGGTGGCTTAGGAGCAACTTCCTGGAGTATAGGGCTAGGGTGTCTATTGGTTGGCAGAATGTCCATCACGTTGGCCCCATCTCTGTGTACTCATCCTGTCCCTCCCGCTCATCAAACTTAGGTTCTGCGTCATCTGCATCCAACTAAGACACAAAGAGAGACCAGACATAAAGAGAGACCAGGGGTAGAAGTCAAGGGTCATGTTATGGCCAGGGTTCAGCTGCAAAGGGTATCAGACTTTCCCAGATAATTTCCCAGGCAAAGGCCCCCGAAGCAACATCCAACTGTAAACTAAATCCAATAAAACCCTAACTCTTTTAGGCGGTGGCAACAGTGCTAGATTGTGTGTGTGTGTGTGTGTGGGGGGGGGGGGGGGGAGACTTACACACTGCATCTCGCGCGTGGTGAAGATGCGGGGCAATAGGAACCATTTGACGGGCACGGTCAGGATGAGGACGAAGGGGAATGCCAGCGAAGCCGCGGTGGACATGACCGCCCACAGCGCTGCCAGACACACCAGCTGGATCCCCGTGAACAGGTGCATGCGCAGAGTCCTCACCTGTAACACACACATATTAGAGTAGCAGTAGTAGTCAGAGTCAAGAGTCGGCTTTCCCTGCCCTTCAGATCCTAAGGACACTTTTACAAGATAGAACCAGTGTTGTTGTAAAGTTTTGATCAGCTACTCTGGGGGTTTGTATCATTTGATTTACACAACATGCCTACCACTTTGAAGATGCAACATATTTTTTTTGTGTGAAACAAACAAGAAATAAGACAAAAAAACAGAAAACTTGGGCGTGCATAACTATTTTTTATTTAAAAATTTGTTGTCATTTAGCAGACGCTCTTATCCAGAGCGACATACAGGAGCAATTAGGGTTAAGTGCCTTGCTCAAGGGCACAGACAGATTTTTCACCTAGTCGGCTCAGGGATTAGAACCAGCGACCTTTCGGTTACTGGCACAACGTTGGATGAGTTCTGGTGGTGTACAGCAATCTTGAAACCATACCACAGATTCTCAATTGGATTGAACCTCCGTCCCAGTCTCAAATCTCTGGAAGGCTGAAACAGGTTTCCTTCAAGAATTTCCCTGTATTTAGCGCCATCCATCATTCTTTCAATTCTGACCAGTTTCCCAGTCCCTGCCGATGAAAAACATCCCCACAGCATGATGCTGCCACCACCATGCTTCACTGTGGGGATGGTGTTCTCGGGGTAATGAGAAGTGTTGGGTTTGCGCCAGACATAGTGTTTTCCTTGATGGCCAAAAAAGCTCAATTTTAGTCTCATCTGACCAGAGTACATTTTTACATTTACATTTACGTCATTTAGCAGACGCTCTTATCCAGAGCGACTTACAGTTAGTGAGTGCATACATTATAATTGTTTTTTTCATACTGGCCCCTCGTTGGAATCGAACCCACAACCCTGGCGTTGCAAACGCCATTCTCTACCAACTGAGCTACCTCCCTGCCGGCCATTCCCTCCCCTACCCTGGACGATGCTGGGCCAATTGTGCGCCGCCCCATGGGTCGAACTGACTTCTCCTACTTAACATGCCTTGTTGTTCTGTGGTGAGTCCCTTGTCAGGACATACAGTACACATATAGATGGCATTGCACAGGGCACAAACAATTGTAATCAGATCAGATGGTAATTTTCCATGTTTTTTTTTGTTGTTCAATTGCTTCACCTCTTTAAAAGTATTTTTGTGGTAGTCTAAGAAGTTTAAAACATTTTACTTAAGCGAAGCAGTAAAATATCTGGTCTGATAGGGTTAACTCTTGTCCGAGGTAAGGCTGCAGACAGTCAAAAGGGAAAATAGTGCCAAAATGCGTAGGTTTTCAATAATAAATACTAATTTTTCCTACTCAACGTCCCTTGTCCTCAAATAGTGGCAGAATTTCTCACACAGTTAGTAAGATTATAGCCAGTAACTTCCCAGTGGGCAAAACTGGTTGAAACGTAATTTCAACCAGTTCTGCACAGTGTTTGTCCCTCCATCGGTCTTGTCAGAGCTCTGAGGTGCTGGTGGTGGCTCTCTTCTGGCTGATGGACCTGGACCTCCTTAAGTTGAAGGTCTGCTTGGAGGTCCTAACCTCCCTGGTGATGAAGTAGTCACACTGAGCGGCCAGACAGCACGTGATGTTGGCCAGACTCATGGCCACCTGCAGGAACAGGCTGATCCTCGTCTTGGCCACGCAGTCCTCGATCACGTGTCTATGTACCTATGATGAAATCTTTTCCACACACATAGCTACGTCTAGCCTACTTGGACACTGGGTCCCCATATTTCCCACTCTCCCACGCCGAATAGCCGGAAGCCATAGGGCTCTTCTCGCAGGTTCAAGAGTACCTTCTTCCATATGTTTGGGGAGTCTCCCACATGCCTTTTGGCGAACACCAAACCTGTTTGCTTATTTATTTATTTAAGCAATGGCTTTTTTCTGGCCACTCTTCCGTAAAGCCCAACTCGGTGGAGTGTACGGCTTAATGTGGTCCTATGGACAGATACTCCAATCTCCGCTTTGCAGCTCCTTCATGGTTATCTTTGGTCTCTTTGTTGCCTCTCTGATTAATGCTCTCCTTGCCTGGTCCATGAGTTTTGGTGGGCGGCCCTCTCTTGGCAGGTTTGTTGTGGTGCCATATTCTTTCAATTTTTTGATAATGGATATAATGGTGCTTCGTTGGATGTTCAAAGTTTCAGATACTTGTTGTAACCCCCAACCCTGATCTGTACTTCTCCACAACTTTGTCCCTGACCTGTTTGGAGAGCTCCTTGGTCTTCATGGTGCCGCTTGCTTGGTGGTGCCCCTTGCTTAGTGGTGTTGCAAACTCTGGGGCCTTTCAGAACAGGTGTATATATACTGAGATCATGTGACAGATCATGTGACACTTAGATTGCACACAGGTGGACTTTATTTAACTAATTATGTGACTTCTGAAGGTAATTGGTTGCACCAGATCTTATTTAGGGGCTTCATAGCAAAGGGGGTGAATACATATGCACGCACCACTTTTCCTTTCTATATTTTTTAGAATTTTTTGAAACAAGTTTTATTAATTTTTTCACTTCACCAATTTGGACTATTTTGTGTATGTCCATTGCATGAAATCCAAATAAAAATCAATTTAAATTACAGGTTGTAATGCAACAAAATAGGAAAAACGCCAAGGGGGATGAATACTTTTGCAAGGCACTGTAGGTGTGGTCGAGGTTTGGGCAGTACACTGACCTTGCAGACATAGGTGTGGTCGAGATTCAAGCAGTGCTGACCTTGCAGCTGTAGGTGTGGTTGGGATTTTGGCAGTACTGACCTTGCAAACATAGATGTTGTCGTGGTATAGCGGTACTGACCTTGCGGACATAGGTATGGTCAGGATGATACTTGGGGGGCATCAGAAGCAGCAACATGCGCTCGGTGAGCTGGATACCGTTGAGGGACATGACGCCCATGTAGAGGAAGATCCCAAAGAGCACAGCGATGGGGATCTGACGCAGGAGATCGCCGATCACAATGGACAAACCTAGCAAGGGGAGACAGACGTGAGAAGATACATTTTCCTTGGAAATGAACACACCATTTACATGAAGCATGTGTCTCGACCCTTACAAAAGAAACACATGAAAAAAATCCTGTGAAAAAAACGTGGCTTTCCGAGACGTATAAACACACGCTTGAACAAATCACTTGTGAAAAATAAAAAACAATTTTTGCTGAATTTTTCGTTTTAGACACGTGAAGTTTCACAAATACATAACTTTTTTTTTTTTTTTTTCTCACAACTTCCAGTTATATCTGGTCTCCCATCCATGGACCGGCTAGGACTGCCCCTGCTTTGCTTCAGAGGCAAACCAGCAGTGGGATGCAGAGCACTATGTTGCTTGAATGAATCTTACAACTGGAAAAAGTCAGCGAAAGCAAAGGCCGGGGTAACGTAACCAAAAATTGCAGAAAAGAGGGAGCCATTTTATCTAATCACGTTATCATATAAAATATTTCACATATATCAATTCATTTGTTCTCACATTTCAAAATTATTTCCTTGCAATATATTTTTTGCTATCAATATTTTTGGGTTTATGTTTTGCTTTCAATATTGTTTGCGATACTAAGAATTTGGTTCTCGATTTCAGAAGTTTTCCTTGATATTAATGGCACAAAAGTAACTCACTCACTAGAGGATTGCACCATATAATAACACTATTACTCTATTAAAGGTTTTTAAAGTGGCAATCCTTAATTGAAACCTTAACAAAGTGTCTCCCCGCCCAGTGGCGACCCGTCATTCAGGGCAGGTGGGGCAGGGCAGTTTTTTTGTTGTTGTCTGTTTTGCATGTTATTTTGGCATTAATACGTGTCACATATCAGTTTGCAAACAGTTAATAAAGCCGCATACAAATATGGTCTCTTTTTTGCTTTCTTGAGTAAGGCAGCTCAAAAATTCAGATGTTTCAGGCTAGCTCATTGCTATCTGTGGTGGTGGGGCAGCCAGCGGAAAATACAGTGCGTAGGTGTTGGTAATGATTGGCTCAGTGTTCCGTCACTCATGGGGACTCTACGTCACCGCAAAATCTACAGGGAGAGCTCGGAAATTCAAGCCCCTTGGGATTTTTGGAAAACCTGTGCATTTTGGGAAAGTTTCTGGAATTTTGCAACCCTACTCTCGAGTTAGACATTGGCCCTAAGTTAGAGGGGTAAAGCCTACCAACGAACAAAGCTACGAGGAAGCCCGTCACCCTCTGCTCTTTCAATTCCTGGATACGGGGCTTGTCGCCAGGGGCCACCCCCTTGTAACGCTCTGCTACGCAACCCGAGTGTGATGGACCCAGACATTATACATCGGGTTAGGGCCAGGTAGGGCCTGTTTCTTAAATGTTTTTTGAAGCTGAGCCATTTGTGCGTGCTCTGCTGCGCAGTACAGTCATTTCTGACTAAGATCATAACAAGGTGTCATAACAGTGCTTTAACCTCGTCAAATATAAAACAGGAGAGATTATTTCACAGAAAATAACAATGTTCCTTGAGTTTTGTCTGAGTTTAGAGTGACGAAAAGTAGCTAACAGCTTACTGCTGTCTCATGTCTCTTCATTGAGCAGAGCAACCCAAGCAGAGCTGTTGCTATGGATACTCACAGACTCAGAGCCTGCATGACCAGAGCGTATGACCAGAGCCATTTGAATGTCATCCATTAACCTACCCCCAAGAAATGTATTTTGTCCACTGTTCCTCGAATGTCCCGCAAAATCGTTCTCTTGTCCCACATTTGACCTTTTTAGGTGTGGTCACCCTAATTCCAACGGTGGAAACATTACTACTGCAACATGTTAACAGCATCTTTTCACATAACAACATTATTTTAACCCCACATGGGAATTTGCAATTCCACATGTCAAAGTACCATTTTCACATTGAAAACATATTATTCTCCTCACATGTGAAAATATGGTTTCCCGTGAAATTTTAACCCAACATGTGAAAACAGCTATTTTTGGAAAACCTGTGCATTTTGAGAAAGTTTCTGGAATTTTGCGACCCTACTCTCTATTTAGGCCTGGGCCCTAAGTTAGAGGGGTCATGCCTACCGACGAACAGAGCTACGAGGAAGCCCGTCACCCTCTGCTCTTTCACTTCCTGGATACGGGGCTTGTCGCCGGGGGCCACCGCCTTGCTCATGACGGTAAGGGCGTTGGCGTGAGTAACAGAACGCACGGTGGCAGCGGCCAACCAGGGCAGACCGAACAGGGCCGAAACCCCACCTATGGCCACGATGATGAGCAGGTCAAGGTGGAAGCCGGAGCCCTTCAACAGCATCCGTTCCTTCTTACTGACTATCAGCCTGACGGAAGGAGAGAGACCAAAGAGAGTGTGGAAGAGAAAGAGAGGAAGTGAAGAAGAGAGAGAGTGTATAAAAGGAGAGGAACATGGAGGGAGAGGGATTGAGTGAAGGAGAGAGAGAGATGACTTGTATTACTCTATAATATGTAAGATGGGGGTGCAGAGGTAACGGGTTGGAGGGGTCCCTTAAGCCGGGTGTACACTACGACTTTCAAACTCCTAACATCGCTAAACCAAGTTAAATGACCATCTTTCCTGTAGTTTTTTTTTTGTCTTGCCAACGTATTGGTGCTCACACTAAATGATGTGGCACAGACGGGGGTCACACACTACAAGATTCTTCCCTTGGTCGTGAGGATTGTCGATACCACGCTGTCTCGCTACAACAATGATGTTATGACGGGATTAGATTTAACGTAGCTACAACGAGCTGTGGCTCAAAGCAGCCTCAAATGTTTTCAGTCAGACATTTACGCTTGCCATACAGAGTTGAAATATCTAGCCAACATTTTGAATTGAATAACATTGCTTGTGAACTTCAGAGGTGTAACTATTTGACAGTTTGGCTTTGATTAAAGGAAGTACAAACACATACTAGTAGTCATCGCTACTGCTCGAGAGTCTACACATTCTGGGTGATGCGAAACAACGTTATCATCTCACTGGCTCCTTCTCTGGCGAGCTCTCATTGGCTATTGCTGATCACCGCTCTCAAAACTTGTCATTGCACATCTCACACTACAAGAGCATTGCAGATTTTGTGCCGATAAAATCAAATGTGTCTGAAAATATCGGGATGTCTGGGACTGCTCAAAGACGAGATTGGTAGCCCTCAGATTGCGTCTCTGACCCGCTCATATAAACAAGCATCGGTGACGGCCGCGCGCCCTGAGCAGGCAACGACATGGGGATTTTGTCTCCGATCTCAAAAACGTGTCTGGGACAGCTAAATCAGGGCCTTCTAGTGTACACCCGGCTTTACGTGGTGATCTGCGTCTCCATGAAGATGAGGATGAACACGAGCAGGGCGGGTAAGATGCTGATGGCCATCATCCAGACAGGGAACTGGCCGTCCGAGCCCAGCGGGGGGATCAGCCACCCTCGCTTCTCAGGACTGGTCACCGAGAAGCCTGTGGGCACGCTCAGCTTCTAAATAGAGAGGGGGGGGGGGTCAAAGGGAAAAGGTTAGCCTGGGCTATTCTCACTTCTGATTGGACTCTCTTGACATTTGATCTTGACCTATATCTCACCTGGGTGTAGGTGTCTTTTATGCTGTAGTCCACCAACACCATGATGAGAATCGCTATGGGAACCCCGAAGTCTCCAATCATCCTACGGAGCTGAGACAAAGAACACGCACAAGTCAGATTGAATATAAACCTGTTGCTTACTGCCACATGCTCTGCCACACAAATTAAAACTGCAATATGTAACTTTTTGGGCAACCCGACAACATGTACATAGAAATGTGAGTCATAGATCTGTCATTGTTATTGAAAGCAAGTCTAAGAAGCGGTAGATCTGTTCTATGTTCACTATTTCTATGCTTCCCAGTCTTAAGTTTAGTTTCTGCATCTTTTACTTTCAGTTTTGTACACCAGCTTCAAACAGTTGAAAAAACTATTTTGTTGGTTATGGAAAGTATTATTCACAGCAGTTTAGATGGTACAATGATTCTCTACACTATACTTGCTTATTTTGTCACATAAACTGAAATTAGGTAAACTATTAGAATTTTTGCAACCAGGAAATGGCAGTGATTTCTGCATAGTGCACCTTTAATGCATTTTGAATGTATTTTTTAAGGGCCAATACTGTATGTGTATGTTGAGGCAGCCCAGGCTTACTGTACTTACCTTGCCAGGGAAGAAGGCACTGTTCTTGAACTTGCGCAAGTAGAACGCAATGAAGAACGTTCCGGACATGAGCACCAGCGTCAGGAGGGCTGTGTTGGGCTCCCCCACCACCTTGCCAGGCACGCCGACCACAGTGTTGTTGCATGATGATGATGTCCATGTGTCGTTGACCAGGTAACAGCGTTGGAGAGGATGCTCTTGAAAGATCTGGGTGGGTTTTTAGACAGATAGACAGACACAGAGGCAGACAGACAGGCAGACACACAGGTAAACACACAGACAGTTTTCTCATGAGTCTCATACATTCCTGCACCATGACAGCTGTGTCAGGTGTGCGATAGATGACCTCCGTTTCAAATGCTCTTGACGGAGTCATAATGCATGCAGCGGTATGCTAGCAATGAAAGCTATTAACTTGTTGGCCAGCGGACAAGCTAACCCAATCAGCTCCAGCCCAGTGTTAAAGGGCGCTCCTCTTCCCAACCCAACCTCACCTTGCCCAGTTTCGAGAAAGTCTCGTAGATGAAGATGAGGGAAATGAGGAAGGAGAAGATCTCCTGGGTAAAGCGCGAGACAAAGCGGACCAGGAAGCTGCCCTCAAAGGCCACTATGAGGACCACGATGAGCACCAGCCAGAAGCCAATCCACACCCGGCCGGTCAGGTACTCTATGTGGTTGGCATTGCAGAACTGCAACACAGAACCACGAGGCACAACTTTGGGGGATGTTCAGAAAGTGACATTATCATGCACACATTACAACTGTATTCCTTGCACCAGCTAGGGTTGCACAATTCCAGAAACTTTCCCAACGTTCACAATTTCTTTTCAGTTAAAGGATTTCTGGAATTTAGAAAGGAATAAGCAGGAAATCCTTCAACTGAGAATCCTGTAATGTTGCAACCAGTCTATTACTTGAAAATCCTTTCCAGGGGAGTGAACGAGTGCACAATTTGGGGAGAAGGGGGAGTAACGGAATGGAAGAAATGGGGTAGTTGCTCACCGAGTAGAAGGCCTCCTCAAAAACCAGGAGGGGTCCAGAGAAGCCCACCACCAACAGAGGCTGTGCCCCCAGGAGGGAGAAGATGACCCCCTGCATCGCTGTGGCGATGATCAGCTCCGACACGCCAATCAACCCCCCCGTTTTCTCACCTAGAGGAAGAAGAAGAGAGGAAGGGATGGAGAAAGTGAATACCAACTAAAAATGATACAGCCAACGATAGACTCTATCCCTCTTTTTAGCTTAATTTCTATTTAGTTATTGTTTCCTTCCTTCCCTCCTTTTTTCCCTCCTCCCCTCCTTTCTTTCCTCCCCCAATGGGTGACTGAGTGACTGACCCAGCAGTCCTCCAAAGGTGACGGCGGGCGACAGAGCAGCGAAGTAGATGAAGATGATGGCAGCCATGCACTGGGGGTTGAGCGCATCACGGAAGTCGCTGGCATATTTGGGGTAGCGCCGTGCGGCGTCACCAATCAGCCCCCCAAACAGGCGGCCCGACCGGCGCAGAGGGTCATCCCCAGGTTTGAAGGGTGCCTGTGGAGCTGAGGGAGAGGGAGGGAGAGGGCTATTTGGTGGTCAGTTAGCCCTCAAGCTCCTTCCTCCAGTATGTACAGTGGGGAAAAAAAGTATTTAGTCAGCCACCAATTGTGCAAGTTCTCCCACTTAAAAAGATGAGAGAGGCCTGTAATTTTCATCATAGGTACACGTCAACTATGACAGACAAATTTAGGGAAAAAAAATCCAGAAAATCACATTGTAGGATTTTTTATGAATTTATTTGCAAATTATGGTGGAAAATAAGTATTTGGTCACCTACAAACAAGCAAGATTTCTGGCTCTCACAGACCTGCAACTTCTTCTTTAAGAGGTTCCTCTGTCCTCCACTCATTACCTGTATTAATGGCACCTGTTTGAACTTGTTATCAGTATAAAAGACACCTGTCCACAACCTCAAACAGTCACACTCCAAACTCCACTATGGCCAAGACCAAAGAGCTGTCAAAGGACACCAGAAACAAAATTGTAGACCTGCACCAGGCTGGGAAGACTGAATCTGCAATAGGTAAGCAGCTTGGTTTGAAGAAATCAACTGTGGGAGCAATTATTAGGAAATGGAAGACATACAAGACCACTGATAATCTCCCTCGATCTGGGGCTCCACGCAATATCTCACCCCGTGGGGTCAAAATGATCACAAGAACGGTGAGCAAAAATCCCAGAACCACACGGGGGACCTAGTGAATGACCTGCAGAGAGCTGGGACCAAAGTAACAAAGCCTACCATCAGTAACACACTACGCCGCCAGGGACTCAAATCCTGCAGTGCCAGACGTGTCCCCCTGCTTAAGCCAGTACATGTCCAGGCCCGTCTGAAGTTTGCTAGAGTGCATTTGGATGATCCAGAAGAGGATTGGGAGAATGTCATATGGTCAGATGAAACCAAAATAGAACTTTTTGGTAAAAACTCAGCTCGTCGTGTTTGGAGGACAAAGAATGCTGAGTTGCATCCAAAGAACACCATACCTACTGTGAAGCATGGGGGTGGAAACATCATGCTTTGGGGCTGTTTTTCTGCAAAGGGACCAGGACGACTAATCCGTGTAAAGGAAAGAATGAATGGTGCCATGTATCGTGAGATTTTGAATGAAAACCTCCTTCCATCAGCAAGGGCATTGAAGATGAAATGTGGCTGGGTCTTTCAGCATGACAATGATCCCAAACACACCGCCCGGGCAACGAAGGAGTGGCTTCGTAAGAAGCATTTCAAGGTCCTGGAGTGGCCTAGCCAGTCTCCAGATCTCAACCCCATAGAAAATCTTTGGAGGGAGTTGAAAGTCCGTGTTGCCCAGCGACAGCCCCAAAACATCACTGCTCTAGAGGAGATCTGCATGGAGGAATGGGCCAAAATACCAGCAACAGTGTGTGAAAACCTTGTGAAGACTTACAGAAAACGTTTGACCTGTGTCATTGCCAACAAAGGGTATATAACAAAGTATTGAGAAACTTTTGTTATTGACCAAATACTTATTTTCCACCATAATTTGCAAATAAATTCATTAAAAATCCTACAATGTGATTTTCTGGATTTTTTTTCCTCATTTTGTCTGTCATAGTTGACGTGTACCTATGATGAAAATTACAGGCCTCTCTCATCTTTTTAAGTGGGAGAACATGCACAATTGGTGGCTGACTAAATACTTTTTTTCCCCACTGTATCTTTGTCACCCTTGTTCATGGGACCTTTGGGCTTTTTGGCCTGTAGTTTGCCCTCCGGTTCCTCTCTGTAATATATGTCTGTGCACATCTGAGTGTATCAGTGTATGCCTGTCTCTATTACCTTTATCCTTTGGGCTCTTGGGCTCTTTGACCTTGAGCTTCTTGCCCTGCTGCTCCTGTCTCTTGTGGAGCATCTCTCTCTGGAAGCGGGCCACCGAGCGAAGCAGCTCCTCGCCGCCCACCTCAGACGGCGGCAGCACAATGCTACAGTCCAGGAAGCTGTTGATGGCATTCAGCAGGTCCTGCCGCTCATCTGCTAGGTACGCCGCCTCGTGGAAGTGCTGCGGTAAAATGCCACTTAGCAGAGTTTTTCAAAGTGATTTACAGGACAGTAAGTACATAATTTTTTGGTATGTGATCCCTGTGGGTGTTGAACCCACAATCTTGGTGTTGCTAGTGCCACACTCTTACCAACTGAGCCACACAGGGCAGTATGGGTTACCCAACGGTTAACTCGCCTTGTCAGACATAAGTGTGGAGATGGAGCGGCCGATCTGGTGGTAGTCGATGTTGGCGATGGGCGGGCCCATTAGAAGGAAGAGGAAACGCACAGGAACTGGCACCTCCAGCACGGACTCCAGCAGTACGGCTTCCTGCAGACGCACAACCGCCATGGATGGCTGCTCCAGGAAGGCCACGGTGCCTGCGGGAGACAGTTATTAAATGTAATTGAACTTTAATGATTCGAGGCAAGCAACACTGAACCATGCATGAGAGCACCAGCTGTTCCGGACGACTGTGTGATCGTGCTCTCCGAGCCATAAGACTGCTAAATATTTAGTTAAATAGTTAATCAAATAGCTACCCAAACTATCTGCATTGACCCTATTTGCACTCACTTTCTTTTACTCATCACATATGCTGCTGCTACTGTTTATTGTCTGTCACTTTCTTCCTATTTATATGTACATATCTACCTCAATTACCTCGTACCCTTGCACATCGACTCTGTACTGGTACCCCATGTATATAGCCAAGTTATCATTACTCATTGTGTATTTATTATTACTTTTATTATTAAGTGTTTTACTTTTCTATAATTTCTCTATTTTCTTTCTCTCTGCATTGTTGGGAAGTGCTCGTAAGTGAGCATTTCACTGTCTACCCCTGTTGTTTACGAAGCATGTGTCACGACTTCCTCCGAAGCTGCCTCCTCTCCTTGTTCGGGCAGGCTTCGGCGTTCGTCGTCACCGGCCTTCTAGCTACTGACGCTCCTCATCTCATCATTGCATTTGTTTTGTCTTGTTTATTACACAGACCTGGTTCATATCCCCTCATCATTACCTGTATAAGTGTTCCCTCTGCCCCCTTGTCTTTGTGTGTGATTGTTTAACGTGGAGGTTAGAGAAGCTCGGTGGAGCTCCTTGTATTTTGTATCGTCGGGATAATTCCCAGTGTGCCTTGTTGGTTCCAGTGCGCCTGTTTTGCGCACTGGAGTGTTTTGACGCATTACTGCGTAACTCTGTGTTTCGGAATAAATCCTGTTATTCTGTGATTTACCTTCCTGTGCCTGACTCCTGCGCCTGACTTCTTCAAAATCACTCATCACATGTGACAAATAACATTTTATTTTATTTGAGTAGTAAGGCATACCTACGAGGACGACAGTGGCCTCTGCATTTTCCGGAATCTTCTCCAGCAACTTGAGCTCATGTTTGGACTTGGACCTGTGCATGCCCAATATGGGAGGATTGTCTTTCTGTAGACGAACAGGGAGTTTAGACACCAAAAACCCACACACACTCAAGACTCAAAAACCATAAACAATCACCCAGACAAGTGGACAAAGATGAATGCACACCCACCCACAAACACAACTCAAACACACTATTACACAAACAGAGCTCACAAAATTCCTGCACACACACACACACAGACAAACTCAACCCCACACACTCCCAAAACCACAGCCACACTTTCAAGTGAAGACCTCGCTCTTCTCCATGTCAATGCGGGTGTCTGTAAGGGTGCCGGCGGCCTCTCCTCCACCAATGAGGGGGTCAGTGACAGAGGGCTTGGCTTGGCCTGTGTGGATGCTGCTGCTGTGGTGATTCACCATCAGGGAGGCCAGGCTGGCGGCAGAGATGTTCCGCGTGAAAGAGCTGTGTTCCTTCTCGTCGCTCGGGTGACTGCGGGCAGAGAAGAGGAGAGAGAGAATGCCTGAACTGAGTTTGTGTAAAAGTACCAATGATGTATATAAACACTGTGAATATCGTAGGTAGCAGGGTAGATAGAGGATTGCAGACGGTTAGAGGAAAGTACCTGTGTTTGAGTAGTAGGGCTCTGAGGACATTGGCCCGGTCCTCCACTTTAATCTGGTCAGAGATTATCATCTGCTCCACCACCTGATGGGCGATGCCAGGCAAGGTGTGCTGGTTCAGGTCCAGCAGCACCGCACCTAAAGAACACCCCCCAATGTTTCCCTTTAACGCCACAAATGCTACTTCCTTCTCTTGCCTTTCTTATCCTTCGATTTGTATTTATTCCTCAATTGTATTATCTTCCTCCCCTCTCTCTTCCTCCCGAGGTCCCCCTTCCCCCCCAATCTCTTTCCCCCTCTCTCCTCCCCGAGACTCTCCCCGCCCCTCTAAACTTCTCCCCCGCGGCCTTCCTCCCTAGCGTTCTTCCTCCCCTCTCCTCCTCCAAGCCTCCACGGCGGCGGGGACGCCAGACCCTGCCTGCAAAGTGCGCCTCCCAGAGCCTCGCGCTTCCTCCCAACAAGGCCGCACGCCCCCGGCTCCCCCTCTCGTCCTGCCAATCCTTCCGTCCCAGCATCTCCTCCGACCTCCCCGCAATCTCATTCACTCCCACTCTCCTCTTTTCCCCCCACTCGCTCCCCTCCTCCCAATCTCTTCGCCCCAAATCTCTCTTCCTCCTCTCGCTCCCCCTCTCTTCCCCTTCTCTTCCTTCCCCCAATCTCTTCCTCCCCAATCTTCCTACATCTGCCGCCCCTTCTCTCTCTTTCCTCCCCAACTCTTCCTCCTCTCCCTCCCCTCTCTTCTCCCCTCCTTATCACTCCTTTTTCTCTTTTCCTAACTCACCCACTCCCCTCCCTCTTTACCCTCTGCTTTCCCAACTCCTTCTCCCCCCCCTCGCCCTCTTTATACCCACCTAGTCCCACCCTCCCTCCTCCCTCCCTCCCTTTCTTCCCTCACCTCTCCCCTCTTTCTCTCACTGTGGGAGATGGTTTTGCGGAGCTCCAGGAGACTACGGAAGGAGAGCGAGGCGACGTGGGGTTTGCCCCAGCGATCCGTTTCCTCCTCCACGTCCTCCTCAAATTTGATCCAGCGGGCTGTCTCCCGCCACTGCAACTCCTGGTTCTTATCCATCACCAGCTCGTTCAGCTCCACAAACACCTGGGATAATTTTTTTGATACAATATCAATATTTATATCGATTTTATTTTTAAAAAATATTGCAACTCTGTGAAGTCCAAACAACTGCTTGCTGATTGTCCATTGGGCCAGGTGTAAATGTTTTGGTAGCCTTTTAACATATCCCAACCAGTTTGAAAACAATGGGAAGCCCTTGATGGCCCATCTGCAGGCAATCATGTACACCAAGTTGAGAGCCTGTGCGAAGGTCTGTGAGAGGATTTTGCAGTACGGCTTTTTACATAATACTGTAGCTTAACAGGAACGATAAACCGATATCACAATATGCCTTGCACATATCAATATCAAATGAATGATCGATGTTTGTGCCCAACACTATTCTTTATAGTACACAGTGGTACTGATCTGGAGCATCTAATCTAGAAACCATCTAATCTCGTGTTTTCCTAACACCCCCAAATACAACACACAAAAACACACAGCAAACATTTGGGTGGAACAAAGGGTCTTTCTGTAGACGAACGGGGGAGTTTAGAATGTCACACACACATTTTCCCATTTTAGGTGAGTTCCAACTCATGTGTCGCAACAACCAAAATATATTTTATACATTGGACCATACTTAAATTAGTGTTTCTAGTGTTATTACTGTGAGAACAAGAATAAATCCTTAAGTTTCCCTATCAAAAAGAAGTGTTGTATCAACCAGACTAAGCTCCCATGAACAACAATAAGACGTTACAACAGGTGCATGAAGACATTATGGCAGCATCCAGCATGCATCAAGTGTCTACAAACACACCATGCTGTATAGGTGTGGCGTTAGAAGGTAAGTAACTGCAGTCCAAATCAATCTGAAGGCTAACACGGCAAATCCATTGTGACCCGGGCTAAAACCGGGTTGTGTTTTTTCAAAACGACCCTACCTTCTGGTGCCGTGCCATACGAGCCACGAACTCCAAGTGAATCATTCTGTCCGAACGCGAGGTGGACCGATACTCTTGCACTGGCTGGGTGAGTGAAAAGCAGAGATACTGACAAATCTAATAGGGCAGGCTTACCTTACAGTCCCTAACACACACACGTTCATAAACACAAACACACAGTTACTGGCTCAACAAGAGAGCGCATGTGAAATGGTCTGTCCATTGTTTTACGTTCACTCTATCACACCTGCACACACACACAGAAGAGACTGACGTTTACCTGGCTACCCTAATACAACAAACTGAACTCCCTCGTTGACTTCCTAGAGCCCCCTTGTGTCGTGTTACCTCTCCTCTTTGTCTTGTGGCATGTGAAAGTCATCCCTAAGTTCATTTTTAACGTCTCACCTTTCCCTGACTGACTTAAGTACCAAAGCAGGGAGTTAATGTACAGGTGAGACATTGACTTCTTAACCCAAACTCTCCTTCATAAAAACAACTTGTGCTACTCACGTCACTGCCTGCTACTTGTAACCAGCAGTAACACTACTGGCCTACATCAGTGGGGGTCAAATGAAGTGTAATAGCATACAACAATGTTATGTAAGTCTATGATGGACCATTCCGGTAAAGTAGTAGCAAAACATGGAATTTTGCCAAATTCACTGCCCCATAGAACCCATTATCCCCTTGTTCCCTGGTACCCACCTCATGTGGGGTACGGTCCAACTTGCGGCTGTGGGCACTAGGCTCCTTGTGGTCCTTGCTGATGTGCACCACCTGACCCTTGTTGCTCTTCCTGACCAGGTGACGGCGCACCGCGGGCACATCCTCGAACCTGTGGCCTAAGGGACATTGAAAGAGAAAAATAGAGAGAAATGTATTTTCTGGTCCCAAACTGCTTTTCGCCTTGTTGAGTAAAGGTAAAGACGTCTTTTTTCATGACAACATCAAAACGTTTGGGAAAGACACCATATTTAGGTTGTAAACAGTAAAATATGTATTTTTCTGGTCGCTGAAATTATGTTTAAAATACCTCCTTTTACAATCAAACCAGTCACAAAAGACTTCAGAATAATGTCATTGCAACTAGTTTTGCCTGCTGCAGTGTGTTTTAACAAGCACGGTGGGAACACACTCAGATTCCCACGGGTGTACTTTTCTAGAAAACAACATTTCAGGATTGGCTTAACAATAGGAAAGCTTTCCAGGGAATCATGGTGAGACTTTAAGGTTTTAAAACCCAAAGAAAACAAATCAACCTTTGTCAAGACCAACCCCACTTTCTTCACTCACTTCACATATCTCAAATAGAGGCAAATCCATGGCTATCAAATTAAGATAATGGTTAGCAAACCATTGATACAAACTTTTAACATGTTGATCTGAATGACAAACTTGCACATTATATTATAAGTTATAACAATATAATAATTATGTAATATATATTATGTAATGGATACTCACAAAGAAATTGCTTCTGACTCAAAGAAAAGTGCAGTTGCAACGTTTTGACTTTCAGAACACAGAACCAAACCATGCTTCCAAAATGAATGATTGTTTTCCAAATAATGACATATGGGCACACGGCACACACACGCATGCACACAGACTTTTATCTGAACATGAAACCAACAATGGAAAACTGGAAAAGAACTGGTGGTGGGCTGATATGGGCTCTTCGAAAATACTCATATTCCTACGGTGCACAGTAAGCATGTGGGATGGACGGCCTTGTTTGCTTGTACACAGAACAATTCATTCCATATTAGGATCAGATTTAAGATAACAAATGCAAATTGACTGTGGAAAAATTTGCATTTTGTGTCTAAATATCAAGGTTTTGTAAGCTTTCCATAAGGGTAAGGACAATCCAGATATAAAAACATGTCTTGGTCAAGGCATTATTGAACAACGTTCTTTCATTGTTTCTCCTTAGTGATGATTGGATAGGTTATCCATGAAGGTTACTGACAAATACCCTATAGATTAACATACAACCAAAGTGATGTCTAGGAGATGTCATGATAATTTCATATATCCTGATGATTCACACTAAATTATTTCGCTGCTTTGTCTCTCGCTACATACTTTAGTATGAGACTGCCATCATTGAAGTAATTTGTGGTGACGAGGGGTGTTGTACAATGCAAAGTCATCAGCGATTGGATCGTCTCTAACCAATCAGAGTATCAAAGCCAATGAAGAATTTTCAAACCGCCGCTTTATCCACTTGTGTTCTGGCTCTGGACCAACCAATCGGTTTCTGGACCAATCAGAGGGCCCCGAATGTGTTCGCATTCGGTGAAGGGTCGGGGAGGTACTCAGATCCAGACTCATTGCAGAGAAGAAACTAACGTCCGTGGGCGTGGCGTAGTGTTTGGCCGGAGCAATGAGTCTAGGGAGCCAGGCAAAATGTCATAGTGATATCAGGGTCAAATCTGAGTATTTCCATCATGTTAAAATAATGCCATAGATAAATCAAAAGAATAAGTCATTTGCTTCAATGATGTAGCTAGTATATCTGTGTAAAGTGTTATCAGAAATGCAAAAATTATGTCATAATGATGATAGCCCCATACAGTGAGGGAAAAAAGTATTTGATCCCCTGCTGATTTTGTACGTTTGCCCACTGACAAAGACATGATCAGTCTATAGTTTTAATGGTAGGTTTATTTGAAGAGTGAGAGACAGAATAACAACAAAAAAATCCAGAAAAACACATGTAAAAAATGTTATAAATTGATGTGCATTTTAATGAGGGCAATCACAGAGGTCAGACGTTTCTTGTAGTTGGCCACCAGGTTTGCACACATCTCAGGAGGGATTTTGTCCCACTCCTCTTTGCAGATCTTCTCCAAGTCATTAAGGTTTCGAGGCTGACGTTTGGCAACTCGAACCTTCAGCACCCTCCACAGATTTTCAATGGGATTAAGGTCTGGAGACTGGCTAGGCCACTCCAGGACCTTAATGTGCTTTTTCTTGAGCCACTCCTTTGTTGCCTTGGCCGTGTGTTTTGGGTCATTGTCATGCTGGAATACCAATCCACGACCCATTTTCAATGCCCTGGCTGAGGGAAGGAGGTTCTCACCCAAGATTTGACGGTACATGGCCCCGTCCATTGTCCCTTTGATGCGGTGAAGTTGTCCTCCAAAGCATAATGTTTCCACCTCCATGTTTGACGGTGGGGATGGTGTTCTTGGGGTCATAGGCAGCATTCCTCCTCTTCCAAACACGGCGAGTTGAGTTAATGCCAAAGAGCTTGATTTTGGTCTCATCTGACCACAACACTTTCACCCAGTTCTCCTCTGAATCATTCAGATGTTCATTGGCATACTTCAGACGGGCCTGTATATGTGCTTTCTTGAGCAGGGGGACCTTGCGGGCGCTGCAGGATTTCAGTCCATCACGGCGTAGTGTGTTACCAATTGTTTTCTTGGTGACTATGGTCCCAGCTGCCTTGAGATCATTGACAAGACTAGTTCTGGGCTGATTCCTCACCGTTCTCATGATCATTGCAACTCCACGAGGTGAGATCTTGCATGGAGCCCCAGGCCGAGGGAGATTGACAGTTATTTTGTGTTTCTTCCATTTGCGAATAATCGCACCAACTGTTGTCACCTTCTCACCAAGCTGCTTGGCGATGGTCTTGTAGCCCATTCCAGCCTTGTGTAGGTCTACAATCTTGTCCCTGACATCCTTGGAGAGCTCTTTGGTCTTGGCCATGGTGGAGAGTTTGGAATCTGATTGATTGATTGCTTCTGTGGACAGGTGTCTTTTATACAGGTAACAAGCTGAGATTAGGAGCACTCCCTTTAAGACTGTGCTCCTAATCTCAGCTCGTTACCTGTATAAAAGACACCTGGGAGCCAGAAATCTTTCTGATTGAGAGGGGGTCAAATACTTATTTCCCTCATTAAAATGCAAATCAATTTATAACATTTCTGACATGCGTTTTTCTGGATTTTTTTGTTGTTATTCTGTCTCTCACTGTTCAAATAAACCTACCATTAGGACTGATCATTTCTTTGTCAGTGGGCAAACGTACAAAATCAGCAGGGGATCAAATACCTTTTTCCCTCACTGTATGTAGGAATGCAAGAACGATGTCATAGTAAAGTCTGAAGTTATATCTCAGCCCTGTGTGGTCATAGAAGTTCTGCTATGATGTCACAAAAATGCCAACTTAATCTCCTGTGAAGTCATTGAAGTGATGCTGCTATGATGTCATAGTAATATCAAAGGTATAGTCCCAGTCAGTACTAAATAGAAAGTTGCTGCCCCGCCCACCTGTGGGGAAAACAACCAATGGTAACCTTGGTTACCCCATTGGCTCAAGGCAAAAACTTTTTCAAATGCAATTTTCTTGTTGTCTGCTTGTTTTTGTCAATTACAAAACGACATTTAAGTAAAGTACATGTCTAAAGACTAGTTTTTCAACATTGCCTGTTTACGACCGTTCTCACTACTTAGAAAAATTTAATATTATTGTAGGGCTTCCCTCATGCCCCTTTTCATGATGGCGCTACATTAGCCACATGAGTAAGTGCTAGCTAGCTACCAACCAGAACATTAAGCTAGTCAAGACCAACAACACAAACAAACTGACTATACAGCTACAAGTAGTGAGTGTACTAAACAAACTATCCTAAACAAGTTAAATGTCTTGTGATGAAATGTTTTCCACACACATAGCTACGGGTAGCCTACTTGGTCCCCACAATTTCCCACTCTCCCATGCTGAATAGCCTGAAGGCACAGGGCTCTTCTTGCAGGCTCGATTTCCCTACGTGGGAGCATTGCGAACCATAGGTTGGGATTTTTCACCTGGTCACATTTACTTTAACAACACAGCAGCTTTTCAACATGTTTTGTTATTTCTGTATAACAAAAAATGTACGACAAGTTGGCTCTTTTACAATTGGGGCCAATGGGAAAGAATGTTTGTTTTCCCCAGTTTGTGGGCGTGGTCGAAGGGAATTATTTCTTATGACATGAATACCAACTCAGAGTATTCCCTTGTGTAGTATGAAAATACTGATGATATCACAGTAATATCAAAGTCAATCCCAGGTGAAGTCATAGAAATAATGCTACAATGATGTCACGGTAATACCTAAATGTATCTCCTGTGTAGGCCTGGAAATACTGCAATAATGTCATAGTATTATCAAAGTTAATCCCCTGTGAAGTCATTGAAATTAGGCTGCTATGATGTCACAGTAACAACAACATTAATCCCAGGTGAAGTCATAGAAATAATGCTTCAATGATGTCACAGTAATGTATATATTTAGTCTTTATGTCAGAGTAATATGAAAATGTATCTCCTGTGTTGTCATGGAAATAATGCTACAATGATGTCACGGTAATATCAAAATTAATCTTCTGTGTAGTCATGGAAATCCTGAAATGATGTCACAGTAATATCAAAGTTCATCCTCTGTGAAGTCATGGAAATAATGCAGCAATGATGTCACAGTAACAACAACATTAATCCCAGGTGAAGTCATATAAATAATGCTTCAATGATGTCACAGTAATGTATATCTTTAGTCTCCTGTAAAGTCATTAAAAAGGTGCTACAATGATGTCATAGTAATACTAAAATGAATCCCCTGTGAAGTCATTGAAATCATGCTGAAAACATGTCACATGACCAAAGTTAATAGTTTAGTCATGAAATGCTGCTATGATGTCACAGTAAAGTGTGAATCAGCCCCCTGTGTCATGGAAATGCAACTATTTCTTAGTAATATTAGCCTTTTGGTCATTATATGTCATTATGTACTCCAAACCACAGAGATTCTATAAATTACATGATGTAATTCTATGCTCCAAAAATCATACCCCTCTAAGTATAGTTCCTGTTAAGGTTTCCACTTTCCAGATAGTGTTTCCTTGCCACTGTGGTACTGCATGATCTTTGAGGTTCTAGGTTGGAAAAATTATATTTATTTATTGATTGATTTGTTGATTGACTGACTGATTAATTGGAACTCACTCTTGATGCCATCCAGGTCGGCGGAACCCAGCATCTGGGCCTCGCTGTCGTCAGTGGCCTGGCGCTGGTGGCGCTCCTGCTGCCCGCCCGTCATGTTACCCGAGCGCAAGCGCTCCTGCAGGTCGTAGCTGTGGCTGCCAGGGGGCGGTGTTCTGGAGTAGGAAGAGGAGGCGGAGGAGGGAGGCGTGGAGCCCCGTGTGGAGGGGCTGTGGGACTCCTGGGAGGGGGCGGAGGATAGGCCATTCCTCCCTTTGTGGGGGGCCAACACCGAGTCCAATGGCTCACTGGGACAACGACGATGACATGCAAGTAATTAGACGGACGGATGGACAGGCAGGCAGGCAGACAGACAGATAGATAAAGTACTGTGACTGTGAGTTTCTCTGTGCACACACGTAACTCTATGCATGTGTTTGCAAATGTGTGTAAATTGCTTTGTCAGTTTGTGTGTGTGTCACAGGAGGTTGGTGGCATCTTAATTGGGGAGGACGAGCTCGTGGTAGTGGCCGGAGAGGAATAAGTGAAATGGGATCAAATACATCAAGCACATGGTCTCCATGTGTTTGATGCCATTCCATTCACTCCTTTCCAGCCATTATTATGAGCCATCCTCCCATCAGCAGCCTCCACTGGTGTGTGTGTGTGTGTATTGGTACGTCAGTCTGTGCATGTGTTTATGTGCATGCGTGTTTGTGTGCATCTTTCTCACTTACTCCGTGGGTGTGGCATCCTCTGGCAAGTTGGTACCCAGGGCAGTCTCGGGTACGATGGTGAGGCGTCTGGGAAGGGTGGCACTGCCAGCCTTGCTGTGCGTAGGGGTAGGAGTGGCACTGGCAGGGTCATCCTCAGACACAAAGAACTACAGAGAGGAAAGATTGGGGTCAATGAGGAAGAGGCCTACCTAATAAAAAAGAAAGTAGCTGTGTGTGTGTGTGTGTGTACAGTATGTACTCTATGTATGTGTGTTTACTATAAACTAATATACTATAACCAATACTGTGTATACTGTAAACCACTATACTATAATGTAAACCATTATAAGCTTGCAACTCCACCTGCACATCGTCGTTGTGTGTGTCCGTGTCTGTATCAGGTGTGGGTGTGGTGGTCAGCCCCCCCTCTCCATTGTTCTGGCTGTAGGACTCTTCATCTTCCTCCTCTTCTTCCTCGTCCTTCTCTATGGTGCATGCTCCGCCAGCCCCGGATCCACTCCTCCACCCGGCTGTAGGACTCTTCTTCTTGCTCTTCTTCTTCCTCCTTTCCGGGGGTAGTTTGGACAGCGGGTGGTGGATGTGGTGGGAGGAGTGGCGGTGGTCTGCAGACAGGAGAGAGAAACCGTGTTGGGTCAAGTAGTCATTTGGTGACACACTTCCTTTTTGAGCAGCTTTGTCTGTCTTTTAATGTGCGTCAAAAGCTGATGAAAGCTACATTTTTGATGGACAGGGATGGCCCGTACTCTATACTACTTCCAACCAGAATGTGATGTCAAGCTGTACACGGTAACGGCAGATACTCTTGCTTTGGTACATAAAACAATGATTAAATAGACATGAAGGGTAACAAGTGAAACATTGGTGGCTCACACTCAAAGTCCTCCTCGTTGTAGGCACGGTGTTTCTCTGGGGGTCCACGGGCCGGTGGGTGGAGGATCTGCTGGAAGAGCTGCACCCCCAGGGTCTTGTTCAGGTCCCGCTCTTCATCATCATCATCTTCACTCCGCCTAGAAGGGGGCGGTGGCTGGACCGGCTACAAGGGGAGGGTGGGTGGTCGATGGGGGTTTGAGGTTAGTGATGATTTCATCATAGTCACGGATTCATAATTACATAAGATTTGATGTATTTTGTGCATTGCCCTATGACAAACAATGTCAGTATACAACAAGTTATTGCTCACGTATACCCTTTAATCATATATAATTGGAAAGCTTAGATACACAGCTATCAATCAGACACATTTTTGGAATGTTCAGGTCAACAGTACCTTGACCTTTGACCTCTAGGGTACATATCAGAATTACCTGTATAAATTGGTTTAAAAAGTAAACCCTGATACGTTTTAATCTTTGTTTGACAAGTGGTTCTGAAAGGTCATGAAATTACCTTTCAAATTATATATAATAAAACCAACGTAGAAAGCACCAGCTACAACTATTGTTTAAAAATAGCCCATATTGTGCAATTGACATTAAAAAGTTGGAAGCTTAGCCATAGAGTTTAATGTAGCAGCAGCTATGTTTTTGGATTGCAACTTTGGTGATAGAGGCACCGCTTTTCACACACACAGCTAGATCAGGGTTTTAAAAAGATTTTGGAGATACAACTCAATGGCGTCTTATTGGATTAACTCTGCATTACCATACCTGTATGAAATATAATTGTAGTATGCCCAATAATATGTTAAAATGTTCATAGTGATGTAGAATACACAACCAAAGGAGCCATGTGTGCCAGATATGACAAATTATTCACACAATTGCGGGTAAGAATGTGCCCATAAAGCTGTCTGAATCACTCATTTCTGAACATGTTTCAATCCTTAATTGCAATACTTAATCTTCAAACATGTCAAATGGATTTACAGCGCCTTCAGAAAGTATTCATACCCCTTAACTTATTCCACAGTTTGTTGTGATACAGCCTGAATTCAAAATGGATTGAATATTTATATATATACACACAATTTATATATATCTACACACAATGTTTGTTAGGACATTCAAAAAAGGCATAACAATAGCGTAATTGCTAACAAGAAATTAGCATCGTCATAAACTGCTGATTAAACTACAGCAAACTATAGGATATGATTGGGAGTCATTGAAAGGGCTAAGTGCATGGCATCGTGGATGACCATAGGCAACACTAGGGGGAGACATAGCCACTGGTAAATGCCAGGTGACTGACTAGTTGAGAGAGCTTGATGCTTCAAGTATTTTATTGCATATACATATATTTGATTTGATTTATTTCATTCATGCTTGCAGTCCACAAGACTGAATTATGCAGAATTCACAGATACATTTAGACAAAAGCTTAAAAAACACAGGATACTACATTCAATTAAAAAACATCCTTACCAATTACAGTTTAAAAGTCAATTTGGTTGTTAAAAAGTCTGAAGGCAGTGGTTACATTATTCAGTCTATTTGTCCTTGCATTGATGCTGAACAGTTGGCTCTGGTTGTGGAGGACTCTGCCAGTGCTGTCTCCCCTTCTCTGTGGTAGGAGATCATGTATAGGGTGGTCAGATTGGTGCATGTCAGTGACCAATCTTACTGCTGCTTGCTCTCTCCGTGAATGTAAGTGGTGGAAGGGTCAATGGGCATGTCTCTGTTTTTCGTTATTATCTTGCTTGCCCTTTTCTGTACCCTATCCAGTGCAGGTTGCTGCTTCTTTGTGCAGCCCACAAGCAACACACTGGCATACTCCAGGCATGGTAGGATCAGAGTGGTGTAGATGTCCACAAGGTCATCAGTGGGAAAGCTGTTTCTTGCCATTACAGTCAGGAAGTGGAGACGCCTTGATGCCTTTTTCACTGCCTGGTCAATGTGTTGGTTCCCACTAAGTTGGTTGTCCAAGTGGAAGCCAATGTATTTTGTGCTTGTTACAACTGGAACAGCCTGTCCACCCAGTATTAGTGGAGCTGGTTGGGGAGGATTTTTGGAGAAGCAGATTCTTAGTTCGACAGACTTCTTCCCATTAAGAAGCATGTTGTTCTCTGCCGCCCATTCCTCCAGTTGCTTAGCCTCCTCTTCCATTCTCAATGTTTGCTAGCCTTAAAGAATGGGACAGGCCAATGTCGTTGGCATAGCCATTGTCCAGTGTATCCTCAGAAATTACTCTCAGAGTGGACATGTGAAGCAGGAATTGGTTAGACGACCCCACCCTCTCGGACCCCAGATATTACCTCTGTCCATGAGCAGTACATTCCATTTGCCATCACCCTCTGTGTTCTCCCTGTTGTATAGCTGTGAAACAAGGTGAGTAACCTTGGACACTGACCCACACTGGCCAGATGCTGGAGAAGTTTAGCATGGTCGACGCGATCAAAAGCCTTTGACATGTCCACCAGCAGAACCTAGACCATTGTGGGTTGCTTTGAGTCTGTCTCTGTAAGCCAGGTGTGTGTGGATCTGACCAGCGCATTTGTTGTGCTGTGTTTAGGCAAGTATGCATGCTGGTTTTTGCATTCTTCAAGAGCAACTGGTATGAGCTTCTTGGCAATGAGCCTTTCCTGGAATTTGCCAAGACAGGACGTCAGAGAGATTGATCTCCAATAATTTTTCTGTCCAAGACTGGAGACCTTAGGATTGGGGCAGATGTTAGCGGTCTTCCACTCTGTAGAGCCCAGTTGATAAGAAGTGTTAACTAAGTGAGTGACCACTGGCGCTAGATCTTCTGAAAATTCCTTCAGTAACCGGGGGGGGGGGGGGGGGGGGGGTACCATCTGGACCACATGCTTTCTTTGGACTGAGTCTTGAAAGAGCTTGTTTCATTTGTCCAATATTGCATAGTTCTCCTTCCCCAACAGGCCTAGGAAGAGGAAAAACAGTGAAGGATGTATTTCCTGTCCATGCTTCAGCAAAGAAGTTGTTCAAGACCTCAGCAACATTGTCATTTTCCACATCGTCAATCTGTATCGGCCCTCTAGATGATTTTTAACGATCAAGCTCTTTATTGATGAAGTCCCACCACTCTTTTGGGTTCTTATTTTTAAGGGCTTGGATGAGCTTATCTTTACCCCCATCTGTCAAATATTTTTTGCCTTTTCTTGATGGCCACTTTTAGTTGTTCCATCATCCATGGCTTGTCACGGGCTGTTGTTTATTGATTTTGTATGGGCAATACTGTACATCAAGGGCCATTTGTATGTTGGTGTTGAAGATCTCCAACTTTTCATCCATGTTCTCCTCATTGTAGACAGCTTACCAGTCAGTGATGGCCAGACACCAGGCTAGGGCCTCCTTTCTCTCTTGAGACACCTGTCGCCCTACTCTGTATTGCGTTTCCTTCCCATGTCTAAGGAAAACTGGTGGGAGTGAGCTGCAGACACTGGTGGCCACTTGAGGCCAGCGGGGCCAACACAGTAGGGGTGCTGATCAGATCAATCATGGAGTCTGCACAGGTCTTATTTTTGACAACCTGTTTTAGATCGGGGTGGGAGTTAATGATGGCCTTGATAGGTAGATGATTGAAATCCCCAGATAAGACAATACCTGCTTCAGGGGATTTCAACGTCACAGAGTCAATGGTGTCAATGAGACAGTTAATAGCTTGCTGTTGCAGTTTATTCTCATTAGCCCATGGAGGATGGTAAAGTGTTCCAACAACAATTGTTGGAATTGATCTGGGAAGCCACTCTGGGCGCAACTGAATCAAACTCATCTCTTTCAAGGTCAGCCTGTATCTTAACCTGGAGACTATCATCTACATACATGGCCACTCCTCGTCCTTTCATATTGAGGCTAGGATTTCTGTCCTTTCTGAACAGCTGAAAACCCTCTATGTTACGGGCTCCTAACCAATTGTGCTATTGTGTGTGTTTTGTCGCGTTATTTGTAGATTATTTTGTACATAATGTTTCTGCCACTGTCTCTTATGACCGAAACGAGCTTCTGGATATCAGGACAGCGATTACTCACCTCGTACTGGACAAAGATTTTTTTCTTTAACGATTTGGACGCAAAGGATTTACTTCAGACACCCGACAAGGCCCAAATCCCCGTCATTCGCAGGAGAAAGAGACGGAGATATCAGGGACGTAGGTCAGGGTGCCTTGTAAGGATCCGATGGCGAGTGGGTAATCTGCCTCTACCATCAGTCCTATTAGCCAACATACAATCATTGGATAACAAAATAAATGAGCTACGATCACAAATATCCTACCGGGACATTACAAACTGTAATATCTTATGTTTCACCATGTCGTGGCTGAACGATGACATGGATAACATACAGCTAGGCGGTCTTTGTATATTTGTAAAGAACAGCTGGTGCACAAAATCTAATATTAAGGAGGTTTTGCTCGCCTGAGGTATACAGTGGGGAAAAAAAGTATTTAGTCAGCCACCAATTGTGCAAGTTCTACCACTTAAAAAGATGAGAGAGGCCTGTAATTTTAATCATAGGTACACGTCAACTATGACAGACAAATTGAGGAAAAAAAATCCAGAAAATCCCATTGTAGGATTTTTAATGAATTTATTTGCAAATTATGGTGGAAAATAAGTATTTGGTCACCTACAAACAAGGCAAGATTTCTGGCTCTCACAGACCTGTAACTTCTTCATTAAGAGGCTCCTCTGTCCTCCACTCGTTACCTGTATTAATGGCACCTGTTTCAACTTGTTATCAGTAAAAAAGACACCTGTCCATAACCTCAAACAGTCACACTCCAAACTCCACTATGGCCAAGACCAAAGAGCTGTCAAAGGACACCAAAAACAAAATTGTAGACCTGAACCAGGCTGGGAAGACTGAATCTGCAATAGGTAAGCAGCTTGGTTTGAAGAAATCAACTGTGGGAGCAATTATTAGGAAATGGAAGACATACAAGACCACTGATAATCTCCCTCGATCTGGGGCTCCACGCAAGATCTCACCCCATGGGGTCAAAATGATCACAAGAACGGTGAGCAAAAATCCCAGAACCACACGGGGGGACCTAGTGAATGACCTGCAGAGAGCTGGGACCAAAGTAACAAAGCCAACCATCAGTAACACACTACGCCGCCAGGGACTCAAATCCTGCAGTGCGAGACATGTCCCCCTGCTTAAGCCAGTACATGTCCAGGCCCGTCTGAAGTGCATTTGGATGATCCAGAAGAGGATTGGGAGAATGTCATATGGTCAGATGAAACCAAAATATAACTTTTTGGTAAAAACTCAACTCGTCATGTTTGGAGGACAAAGAATGCTGAGTTGCATCCAAAGAACACCATACCTACTGTGAAGCATGGGGTTGGAAACATCATGCTTTGGGGCTGTTTTTCTGCAAAGGGACCAGGACGACTGATCCGTGTAAAGGAAAGAATGAATGGGGCCATGTATCGTGAGATTTTGAGTGAAACCCTCCTTCCATCAGCAAGGGCATTGAAGATGAAACGTGGCTGGGTCTTTCAGCATGACAATGATCCCAAACACACCGCCCGGGCAACGAAGGAGTGGCTTCGTAAGAAGCATTTCACGGTCCTGGAGTGGCCTAGCCAGTCTCCAGATCTCAACCCCATAGAAAATCTTTGGAGGGAGTTGAAAGTCTGTGTTGCCCAGTGACAGCCCCAAAACATCACTGCTCTAGAGGAGATCTGCATGGAGGAATGGGCCAAAATACCAGCAACAGTGTGTGAAAACCTTGTGAAGACTTACAGAAAACGTTTGACCTGTGTCATTGCCAACAAAGGGTATATAACAAAGTATTGAGAAACTTTTGTTATTGACCAAATACTTATTTTCCACCATCATATGCCAATAAATTCATTAAAAATCCTACAATGTGATTTTCTGGAATTTATTTTCTCATTTTGTCTGTCATAGTTGACGTGTACCTATGATGAAAATTACAGGCCTCTCTCATCTTTTTAAGTGGGAGAACTTGCACAATTGGTGGCTGACTAAATACTTTTTTCCCCCACTGTATCATGATAAGCTGTAGACCACACTATTTACCAAGAGAGTTTTCATCTATATTTTTCCTAGCTGTCTATTTACCACCACAAACCGATGCTGGCACTAAGACCGCACTCAATGAGCTGGATAAGGCCATAAGCAAACAGGAAAATGCTCATCCAGAGGTGGCGCTCCTAGTGGCCGGGGACTTTAATGCAGGGAAACTTACATCCGTTTTACCTAATTTCAACCAGCATGTTAAATTTGAAAGCTCTCCCTTGCCCTCCATTTGGCAAATCTAACCATAATTATATCCTCCTGATTCCTGCTTACAAGCAAAAACTAAAGTAAGAAGCACCAGTGACTCGGTCAATAAAGAAGTGGTCAGATGACGCAGATGCTAAGCTACAGGACTGTTTTGCTAGCACAGATTGGAATATTTTCCGGGATTCTTCCATTGGCATTGAGGATTACACCACATCAGTCACTGGCTTCATCATTTAGTGCATCGATGACATCGTCCCCACAGTGACTGTACGTACAGTACCAGTCAAAAGATTGGACACACATACTCATTCAAGGTTTTTTCTTTATGTTTACTATTTTCTACATTGTAGAATAATAGTGAAAACATCAAAACTATGAAATAACACATATGGAATCATGTAGTAACCAAAAAAAGTGTTAAACAGATCAAAATATATGTTATATTTTAGATTCTTCAAATAACCACCCTTTGCCTTGATGACAGCTTTGCACACTCTTGGCATTCTCTCAACCAGCTTCACCTGGAATGCTTTTCCAACAGTCTTGAAGGAGTTCCCACATATGCTGAGCAATAGTTGGCTGCTTTTCCTTCACTCTGTGGTCCAACTCATCCCAAACCATCTCACTTGGGTTGAGGTCGGGGGATTGTGGAGGCTAGGTCATCTGATGCAGCACTCCATCACTCTACTTCTTGGTCAAATAGCCCTTACACAGCCTGGAGGTGTGTTGGGTCATTGTCCTGTTGAAAAACAAATGATAGTCCCACTAAGCCCAATCCAGATGGGATGGCGTATCACTGCAGAATGCTGTGGTAGCCTTGCTGGTTAACTGTGCCTTGAATTCTAAATAAATCACAGAATATGTCAACAGCAAAGCACCCACACACAATAACACCTCCCCCTCCATGCTTTACGGTGGGAACTACACATGTGGAGATCATCCGTTCATCCACACCGCGTCTCACAAAGACACGGCAGTTGGAACCAAAAATCTCAAATTTGGACTCATCAGACCAAAGGAGATGTGTCTGTTACTTGAACTCTGTGAAGCATTTATTTGGGCTGCAATTTCTGAGGCTGGTAACTATAATGAACTTATCCTCTGCAGCAGAGGTAACTCTGGGTCTTCCATTCCCGTGGCGGTCCTCATGAGAGCCAGTTTCATCATAGCGCTTGATGGTTTTTGCGACTGCACTTGAAGAAACTTTCAAAGTTCTTGAAATGTTCTGTATTGACTGACCTTCATGTCTTAAAGTAATGATGGACTGTTGTTTTGTCTTTGCTTATTTGAGCTGTTCTTGCCATAATATGGACTTGGTCTATTACCAAATAGGGTATTTTCTGTATACCCCCTCTACCTTGTCATAACACAAATGATTGGCTCAAACGCATTAAGAAGGAAAGAAATTCCACAAATTAACTTTTAAGAAGGCACACCTGTTAATTGAAATGCATTCCAGGTGATTATCTCATGAAGCTGGTTGAGAGAATGCCAAGAGTGTACAAAGCTGTCATCAAGGCAAAGGGTGGCTATTTGATTTGTTTGACACTTTTTTGGTTACTACATGATTCCATATGTGTTATTTCATAGTTTTGATATCTTCACTATTATTCTGCAATGTACAAAATAGTAAATATTATGAAAAATCCTTGAATGAGTAGGTGTGTCCAAACTTTTGACTGGTAGTGTATGTCTACCTGAAATATGTTGGAAGACTTGTGCTTAAAGTTTGGGGAAAATAGGATACAAACGTAAATGTTTTAACAAACCCCAATTTGCACCACTTCTGTAGAATGACCCATATAAGGAATAGGTTGCCATTTGGGACCCAACTAAAGTCTCTGTACAGATTTCCGCCGCCTTGGCGTTCTACACATACAGAGCACACACCCAAACACACACGGACACACATACACACACACACACACACATAGCCGAGACGAACAAGCTGTGGCTCTCTTTCATGCAAACACACACCTCACAAGAACATTTGCACATTTTGTTTATATGGATTTAAAAATATTTGCATGAACAACGCCAATTGGATGGAAACCTAGATAGTGACACACATTAGAACATTTTTGTCTTAGTCCAACATTTTCCTCACAACAGAATTCTGGAGATCTGAAAACATTGATGGACTGGAAGGAGTGCTTTCAGAATACTTCAACTGGACAAGAAGAGAACAGGGAAAGGTTACTTGGGCAATTAGATCCAAACATTGTAAAATAGTGAGGTACTCTGCTGGCCATAGAATCAATATGCATCGAGGTTACTGTTGACTGAATAAATACATGACTCATTGTATTTCACACAGCCTTTAACAGTTCAACTCTATTGTTGCACCCTTCTAGAGGTCAGTAAGTGGTAATGCTTCACCAACCCCATCTGTGATTGACAGGTGCGTATGGTCAGTCCAGTTGCTATGGTAACGACAGGTGTTTCTCTGGGCTGCAATTATTCCGATTAAAGTCTATTGTTTGACCGAGAGCAACCAGGCCTCAAAGATCAAAACGGACAAAAGGAGAAGGAAATTGCTTTCATCAGACAAACACACACACAAACACATACTTGCAGTCATGCTAGCACCATCACCACCACCTTAACCGCCCTCCCACAAACACTCCTTCCCACCACCCAATATGAGCATTAGGGTCAAAGCTGGTATTAATATGTAAATCTAGGCAGGAATGCTGGCGTGTGGGCATCGTCCCATCACATATCAACCATGTCTGAGAGGAACTAGCCAAAGGTGTCAAAACATGGAACACTTCATGGGTCTTAGCTAGCGGGGGTTTAGCCCATGTCCCAGCAGGCAAAACTGGACGAACTGGTTGAAATGATGTCATAATGGTTGTAGTGACGTCAGTTCAACCACTTCTACTCGCTGGGGTCACGAGACAGCAGGGGTCTTTCGACACTGAATAGTGATGGGGGGAAAAAAAGTCTAAACAGTTACATATCAGGATAATTTTTTTTGATGATATATCGTATCGTATCGTTTTGACAATATCAAAATATAATTTTTGCGCTAGTTGGCTAAACTGCACCAAAACTCCAGTATTTTTCCTTCATAGCTTGTTCTCCATCTTATTTTGAAATAGGGAGCCATTTTGTTTTCAGCACTTTTATTTCCATGACTTCTCAATACTCCTTTTCTCATGGCTCTCTCTTGTCCCTCTGCAGCAGACATGCAGTGAGCAATATGCTTGGAACATCGAATCGCAATAAAATCACAGTATCAAATCGCGATACATATCGTATCAGCACCTAAGTATCGTGATAATATCATATCTTGAGGTCCCTAGCAATTCCCAGCCCTACAGCAAAACAGTCCCAACAAACCGCCACAAAAAAACGCTGCAAGAGTCGAAAAGTCAAATGTGGCAACTAAGGGTGGCGGTTGGTTTTGTTTTCAATTAATTTGTAACAGAGTTTTAAATTGGCTTTACAGCTTCCTCTGGTGCAATATAATAATAATAATAATAATAATAATAATAATATATGTTTTTTATATAGCGCTTTCATACAGAATCTCAAAGTCTCTTTAAAAAACAAACAAAAACAAATTCAGGGGGCTGGCAGTTCATGGGAGATGGTCTTTCACAGCTAGATGATGATGCAGTTCAGTAAAGGAGTAGCTTGAGTGGAGGTGGCGTTGATGGTACAGCCAGGGAAGGAGAAACGACAGACAGGCAGGCCCGGAGCTCTCCATCAGGCATCTCTCTCTGAAGTTCACAGCTACTCCTTCTCTGTAGGTAGGCTGGAACATCCACCACCGAATGTATAGCACCGACCTGGGTGATGCTTCGACAGCTTCACCTGAGAGACCACCACACTTTGGCCTCGTAATCAGGAACAGTCTTCTACGAGGCGAGCCTCTGTCATCGCCTCACACCACAGTCCACATCCTTCCAGAAACCAGGGCAGGTGGAACAAAAAGCCGATGCTGTGTTGATGCATCATTCAAATTAGACATGCCAGCTAGCTAGCTATAGCTAACCAAGCCATAGCTAACCAAGCCAAGTAAACTTGCCTTCGTCAGTTCTCCAAGTAAACTTGCCATCGTCAGTTCTCCAAGTAAACTTGCCATCATCAGTTCTGCAACTACATAGGTCACCACCAGATATTTTAGCTCAACTCACAACAGGTTATATAAAACCAAAACATTTGTACATTGTTTTTAAATGTAACAAGAAACACTTTAAAAAAATTATATGTACAATATTTACAGATACAATTACATATCGGGATATTATTTGATGATATATCCCACATAAAGAAATACTACTGTAGTATCCCTCGATCATGTGTAGTACTTAGTATAGAATTTTGTAGTATACTGTAGAATCCTATAGTAAATACTACATTATTATCCACAAAAAAACACTGTAGTAAATACTACAGAAATGTCAGCAAAAACACTACATTTGTTTAACTATAGTAAATAGTACAGTATTTAATTTCCATATACCCTGCCTAAACCCATCCTCCACATCCCAGTATGTGCCACCCGTAAGTGAGAAACCTACATGTCAAGTATAGACCATATATTGTGTTCCCTGTAGTTATAGAAAAGAGCAGAAGCCCTGAACTCTCCGTTCAGAACCCAGTCCTACCTACCTACCTACATACCTACCTACCTACCTACAAGTTATGGAACATTTGCTCTTTTAGTATTCCTCCACTAAGCTTCCTCAAGGAGAAATCCTCCCACTTCTATGTTAAAGATAATAAAACAAAAACACTTTATTAAATACTACATTAATGTACCCCAAAACACTACAGTAATTACTATAGTATATACTACCATTTTTATTTACGACAGTATTTATACAGTAAATACTACAGTATTCACTGACATTTTTTGGCGGACTTCAGTCCGCTAAAACACTACAGTGAATCCTACAGTAAAGTCCGCAAAAACGTTACAGTGAATACTATAGTATTCCTACCATAGTATACACAATGGTATTTGGCAACCTCATGGCGCCATGGAAACCACAGAACCACGGATATAAGCATTACCTGACTAATAAGTAAAAAACACGAACTATACATCAATAAAACAAACTATACATCAATAAATGTCTCATAATGTGTGTATAGAACTTGTGTATAGAATAACTAATGTACAGTATATAGATGTAAGGTTTAAACTCACAGCTGAGGTGGCTGTGGCCTTAGTGTTCGTGGCGACGTTGGTGTCGCTGGCATCCTTAGTGTTGCTCATGGCTCCGTGCAGATCACAAGGTCCCAGCAGTACGTTGCGACGCAGTCCTTAGCCCTTTTCACTCTCTTTCTGACTCAACAGAGGACTTTTGGCTAGCATAACCTGCGAAAAGGACAGGAATGGTATTGTTGGTCTTAGTCAGATGACTATTGGGTAAATTGGGTAAAATGTTACGTCAATCACCCAAATTGTCTTTTGGTTAGTGATTTCATTGTATGTCCTACATGATGATTATATGGCCATTATAATGACATAGGCAATGCCAATTGTCATGATGTCATTTACACACTTAGGACCACATCACCAGACCAGGAAAAACTCAGGGCCCTAGCCCAATAATAATATAACAGTTATAAATAAGTAGGGTAAGATACAGGGTTGTTCCTGGTCAGGTCACAGGGTCTGGAATAAGTCCTGGCCCTAACCATATCGACGATCTCTTGTGAGTGAACAACAACATTACAGTATTGAGATTCTGAATGGGGCCAACACAGCGGCAAATAACAAAAGCAATCAATTTCTCTACTGTAGCTCTGAGTTTATTCACTTATGATGTATCCACCTTGGCAAGACCACAACATCCAATTTAGGGTGGAAAACCCATTTTTTATACACTTTTTTGCAAGGGAGCAAATCAACTCAGCTCGTCAGGCAGTGTCTTGTAACACTCAGCTGGTGTTACTATGGTCTACCATAGTCTATTAATGGCTACCTGGTTTGCGCAATGAGTAACCTTGCCTGAGACCTGAAGACTTAAATTACCTCCCCGAGCTAATGCATAAGACTTAGCTCAGTGGGCTAACGGTGTTCAGGCGGAAAGCCGACCCGGGTGCGAACCCAGTAGGTCACATTGCCGCCAACAATGGTGTGGGTGCCAGCCCAATAACACTGACCCAGTCCTGGAAGGTTATGCACTGCTCCCCATCTAATAGAAGTTAGATAACATCCATAAACTCCCATAAACAGCTGAGAGCTTTCTGATAGTGGAGAGAGTTTGTCTACAGAGAATAACATCTACAGTTATTATGAGTGTATTCTTTTTAGAAGCAGTGACTAAGGGTCAGGGTTGCCAGATTGGTACCTGGTATTTAGATAACATATTTAGAGCATTTCTTGAAGGATTGCCTTCAGAACATCCCAATGCAGGGCTTGAGGGTCAGGGTTTCCAGATTGTGTCCTGGCTATGGTCAGATAGTGGGGTTGCCATTAGAGCCAGACCGATATATCGGTTCACCTATATTATCAGCCGATATCGTCCTTTTACTGCTAAATCGGTAACGGCTGATAATTCAACCGATAACCGATATTCAATAAATATAATAAAAAAAGGTTAATCTTATGCTTATCTGAACACTTGCGGCCATTCTCATGATGTCATTATTGTTACAATGTATGAAATCAACATTTGAAGCATAGTTATTGGACAATTGCTCTTTTGGATGGCAATTTCTGAGAATTCAATGTGGGAAAATTAAACTTTTTCATTTCCCCACTGTAAAACAGTATATCGGCAGATATATCAGTATTGGTAAGTTTTGTCCCCCAAAAAATCGGAATCGGTATCAGACCCAAATAAACATTTTGGACGGGCTCTAGTTGCCATATTGTGTAGGCAAAATCCACTTGGAAATCCCCCTAATGACTAGCCCAAACCATTTCAGTGAGTGAATTGACACGCTCAGCATTTCCCCCACAATTTTTGTGATTCTATGTCAAATTGGATCAAGTATTGACAGTATGTTGGTCTCGTTTAACTTTTCTCTCACTTTTGTGCAATCAAAATGGGACCCATATCTCCCTCTGATTTCCATGGATGCATCTCAATAGTCTACAGGGTGCTTCCTCTCCTCATCCCCCACCCGTTACATGCACTGAACTGAGAGGACACCACTCTCCCTCTCAGGCGGGTTTATAGGGCGATATGGCACGCACTGCCAAACGGAAAGGAAGGTTTTTTTCTACATCATTATTCACGGCACAGTAGTTACAGTGTTCACTCTCGTCTGTCCCATATGTCCAACCCTAAAGCTGCTTCAAATGTCCCCGCCCTTTTGGGCTCATCAGGTTGAAATCGCCAGAGTCTCTAAGCTCTAATTAAAATCAATTTTTTCAATATCAAGCTTTCATACATCTCCTGAGGGCTCACTACGCGCTTTCGTCATACGTAACATAACCATGAACGTAACTAAGAAAAGAGCGGGTAGCCTCATCAATCAATTCACTACTACTGTCAAAATGGCTAGCCTTCAGTGCAACTCGATTGTCTCTTTGAAAGAAGTTCCTTTTTGTCGGCGAACAAATCAAGATAAATTGGCAACGAAACAATTAGGACCTCCCAGACCAAATTTAATAATTCAACAGGTTTCTACTAAGCAGAGTCGTGAACACTGTCTACGAGAATCGAGACGACCTCATAGAATGTTTTGAAGCCATTCGGACGGGTTCATTGGGTTCATTTGACCAGCCCACCGTGAGAGAGGCATCTGGCTACGTGAGGATGCTACATGATGAAGATTTTATTTTTTTCCTGCGGCTTTTTCACAAAATCATGCCCCACGTCGACATTCTGTACCAGAAGCTACAGAAGAAGGACATCGATGCTGTCTTTATCAAACGTGCCCTCGACAGCTTCACAAGCAGTGTGCAGGCCATAAGGTAAGATTAAACAATATCATTCGATCTTTCTCAAAGCAGAGCTTTATTTGAAAATGTATGCATGAAAGGAGACTGCATTTGTGTTTGAAATTACATTATTCTCATTATATATGGCCAGTGGTGTAATCTAGCTTATTTTATATACTATGTGTACTGTACAGTGGTGCTCATAAGTGTATGAACACATTCTAAAGTTGACTAAAAAGAGGAATACAAAAATAAAAAAATCATCTTTTGGAAATTGATCTTACTGACTTAATTAAAAAAGTTGGAAAATCCAACCTTTAAGGACACCCATTCTCTTTTCTTTTTTATTCCTCTTTTTAGTCAACTTTAGCATGGGATCATAAGCTTATGAGCACCACTGTATACTGTGCTGAACATCCAGGCTATGTGAGACACAAAGGCTAACTTAAACACTAAAGACTTTATGCATCCCTGCCCATTTTAAGTGGAACTGAAGTATTTGTACTATACATGGATACATTGCATATACCTGTGCATCACATAGACAACAATACTGTACAAAGCCAACAAACACATTGGTCTGTTTGCCTTCAGGGACTCCTCTCAACAGCAGCTGCAAGAAGCAACAGGAGCCAAAAGACCCAGAACAGCTTTGAGAGAAGAGGAGAAGCAGAGGCTGTCTGAAGAGGTCTGCAACACCATCCTGGATCACACCAAAGAAAGGTTCTCTTTCTCTGGCCACCTTGTGAGTGCTACCTTACTGCAAGCAGACATGTTTGAAAGGTACTGCCATTCATTTCCTGATGAGGCTCTGAATGCCACTGTGAATGCATACCCCATGCTGAGCAAGGCAAAGCTCAAGACAGAACTATCTCTGATCTATGAGAATCCTGAATTCAAGGGATGCTGTGGTGCACTGGCACTGTACCAGGTTCTCATGAGCTACAACCTCCAGGAGACGTTCTCTGAGACTGTGACTCTGTTGAACATCCTCATAACTACTCCCATGACAACAGCTGAAGCTGAGAGATGTTTCTCAACTTTGACACGAGTTAAGACATTCCTGCGAAATTCAATGGGCCAGGAACGTCTGAATGCACTGGCCATGCTTTCCATGGAGAGGGAACTAGTCCTCAGCATGCCTGATTTCAATGAGAAAGTCATTGAACGCTTTGCTGTATTGAAACAGAGAAGAGAACAGTTTCAGTACAAGTAATGTAGCCTCTCTCTCTCTTTGTCCCTCCCTGTCTGTCTCTTTAACACACACACGCCCAAATCAGTTCACAGTTGATGTTGTTTAAAATAGTTATTTTTCATTTAAAAAAAAGTAAAAAAATAAATAATCTGTTCATGTTCATTTTTACAAATCTATACAATTGGCCAGAATATGGTTGTTCATTTTTACAAAGCCATACAGATAGCTGTGTTTACCTTTTCTAGAAATTACTTTCAAATTCTGTTTTCAGGCAAAATGTCTATCACTGTTCATTTTCACAAATCTATACAAGAGGGCAGAATATGGAAGTCTATAAAAATGTCTTATTACCAATAACTTGCATCAATGTTTTCAGTAGCCTCTATCAAAAGCTCCTGCTTGCTTGTTGTGAATTATGCTCAGGTGCACATATTTCCAATTCAACCATGAGGCAAAAAATGTGGTAAAAGCTCTTGTTGATCCTGCAATCTGAACAAATACCAAGATGCTGTATTTTCAGCTGATATTTCATTTGTTTATGGAAATGCATATTGTTTATGCAGTGTTGAGGAATGTGAAAGAACACCCTTGATTATTTTTACTGTGATAACTTATTTTGATTTTGTAAGCCAACACTTTTGAGATCAGTCAATAAATGCTTCTGGTATTGACTTATATGCTGCCCCTGTCTTCATGTTGTTGCTGGACATATCTTTTAAAAAATGTGTGTAGGTCACCTAAATCATCAGAAAAATTGCCCCCCCTGAGAATTTTTTCAGGAGCCGCCACTGCCTCTGAGTGATAAGGAATATATCCCCAGTCTCGCCACTGCAGGACGGGACAGTCAGTGTGGTTTACATCAACAAGGTCACTGCTGCAATGTCACCGCCTTCGGAAAAGTACAGCCACAAACTGAGGAGGAGGAATGGGATGGAGGATGTTCATTAGAGGTATCCGATGACACTTCATGCACTCTTAGAAAAAAAGGTGCTATCAAGAACCAAAAAGGGTTCTTCGGCTGTCCTCATAGGAGAACCCTTTTGAACAACTCCTTTTGGATCCAGGTAGAAACCATTTGGTTCCAGGTAGAACCCTTTTGGGCTCCATGTAGCATAACCCTTTCCACAGAGGGTTCTACATGGATCCCAAAAGAGTTCTACCTGGAACCAAAAAGGGTTATCCT